TTTTTTTTTGCTAGGGGTCAAGCATTTTGATTGATTTTATGTTTTACACCAACTAATAATGTTAATCTATTTAATTTATAGTATTACCTACTTTTATTTAGAATTTTTTCTTTATATTCTGTGATTTTTTCGTAAAATCATTGTGACAGGGATAAGTTCTAAACAATTTAGGTGGAAGTCTTTAATTTTCAATTTTTTTTCGAAATGTAATATAGTTTATGAAAAACTCAGTATAATGATCCTATGGTGGAAATATTGAGCTCATTGTAATATTTATAGAACGCTAATGAAAATTGAAACATCCTGCATCAAAACAACTAACATGTGTTGTTTTAAACTTTTGCAAGCTCATCTCACATCATTTCGACAAAAAACATAATCCATTTTTCATTCGGGTATACATACCCAATTTTAAGTTTGTTACGTAAAACTTACATGTAAGTTTTACGTAACAAACTTAAAATTGGACAATTTTACAACGTCGCAAATTAAAATCACCGCGACAATGTCAATGTCAAAGCAATTTTATTGTATTGCATTTTTTTAATCGGGTGACAATGTAAATAAACAAAAGAAACGCCGACCCTAGCCAATGCCAACAATGCAGTTAAAAAATAAGGCGCGACAAAAAACACACTCTAGATCCAATTACATTTTCTACTAAACCTAATTTTATAATCATGATTTTATGATTTGTCGGTAAACCTAAATAACGATTTTTTTCTAATAAAAAAAGATGAAAAAACACAATAAACTATAAAAAAATATTCATACTTTTTATGGTTTAAATGTGGTTTTTAGTGTATCTTTTTTATTAAAAAAAATCGTTAGTTAGGTTCACCCATTTATCAAGCATTTTAACCCAATAGATTCTGTTAAATAGTGATTCAAAAACAATTAGGCTGAGCTAAAATTAAAATAAAGTGGATTTATGCGACCTGTGACCCGTGATAAGTGACTGACGTGTTCTCATCTCTAAAAATAATTAATACCTTCAAGAAATTTAACATGTTCGATTCGTCGTGCGTTCGTGATTGGTCGGGATAATTTTTTTGGACCGATATAATTATGCCAATGAGCATGACTACACACGGAGGGGTACTTTATTATGTTGTCAAAGTTCCTAGGGAACAAGAACAGCCAAGGTAAAAAAAATCATTTGTATTTTTAAATACATTTGACTATTTTAAAATTTTAGATTTCAAAATTCTCTGAATACAAATATTCAGATAGGTACACGATTTTATAAATTTTAAGATTGAATTTAATTTATATTGCTTACAAAAAAATAATTTATTATTAAACATGCAAGGTCGTGCTTATCTCCAAAATATTTAAACAAATATGTATTTTTTATTGCCAATTTAACAATATTATTAGCGTTATTAATAATATTTTATGTAGATATCAAGTTTTGTAAACGCAACTTTAGTTACGAGTTTTATAAGGCACGAGCGAAGCTTGCGAGCGAGTGTTTAATAAAAACGAGTGTCTAGAGAAGTTTATAAATCGAGTTGCATACTATACTTTATCTACGACGAACACAAATAAGAATTTAAAGCCAATTTAATTTGTCAAACAATTGAAGTCTGTCAACTGTCAACGGATTTAACCTCACTTTTTCTAAATTTATAATAAAGCTAACTTAAGCCCGAATTGGTGAAATGGTTAAAATAAAAACAATTGAACGTCGGGTTTTGAAATATTTACAAAAACCATATTTTTTAAATGTGTTTAAAAGTTTATTGAAAACAAATTATTACTTTATTTGAAAAAATCAGAAAGTGCTTATTATTTCTTTATTTTAGGTTTAGGGTAGTTATTCAATAATAATTTTTTATTTCCAATTAAATAGTCTTTCAAAATATTTAAAAAGATACAGGGTGTTCCATTTAAAAAAAAATTGTGAATATATAGAAAACTTGACGTTTAATTACTTAAATTACTTTAATTTTTTGTTTTCACCATTTTAACGAAATTAGCAATGGTAAGCAGATAACTTTGGACACCCTGTATATTAGGGTGGCGCCAAAAACGACTATTTTTGTTTGGAGCCTCCTATAAAAATATGTTAGTTTTTCATGTTTCAAGGGCTCTCTCCAAAAATAATCTCGATTAAAAAATGTTTTAAGGGTTTGCTAACGAATTTTATAAATTGGGTCAATGCAAAAATCAATTTCTCAAGGACTGTTTTGCTACCTATAACATAGTGTAAAATAAATAAATAAATAAAATATATTTAGTTGTTTTCTAGCGACCTTTAAATATTAATATTAAGACCTAACTTTTATTTTATATTATAATGAACAAAAATTCATCAAGAGGTGAAATAAAAACAGCATTGAAGGTATGATTTTTTAATTGCGATAATACGCTTTTTGGGTAAGTACTTTGGCGCCAGCTACTTTTTGAAATTTGCTTCCTAGAACATCGACTCAATGACAAAAAAATTAAGTTTTTACCTTAATCCGCAGTGGGTAAGGGCTTTTCTTATACGCCCTAACCAATTCATGCAAAGAATTACTATGGTCATTTTTTTTTAAACAGCTTTCTTTTGGACAGATTGAGTGTACTATCGTTGAGTGAAAAGTATTAATAATAATATTAATCAGTGTTACTATAGTACTAATCAATATAGGTCAATTCAAAATCATACGTTTAATGTTTTTTTTTCCAGCTAGTGGTGTATTTTTGTTTATTATATGAATTAAAACTAAAATCAATAGCTACGCCTAAAAAAAAATATTGGCGGTATTTTGTGCTGGAAATTTAAAAAAACAATTTATTTTTTATGTACGAAAATTTACCGTTAAGTAAAAAGTATTAATAATATTAATCAATGGTACTATAGTACTAATCAATATAGGTCAATTAGAAAATAATACCTTTAACAATTTTTTTTTCAGCTCGTGGCGTATTTTTGTTTATTATATGAATTAAAACTAAAATTAATGGGTACACTTAAAAAAATTGTTGGTGGTATTTTGTGCTGAACATTTAAGAAACCAATTTATTTTTTATGTACAAAAAATTAACCGTAGCAAATAAAAAAAATCGATTTTTGAATATATTGGGAATTTTCAAAATTTGTATATTCGAGGTGATTTTTGGAGAGAGCTTTAACATAATTTCCATAGGAGGCTAAAAAATAGTTTTTTTTGCGCCAACCTAATATACAGTGTATTTGTTTGCGACTCACATCTGTAAAACCTTTATTTATTGTGCGATTTTAACCGGATTTGTTTTAAAGTGTAGATCTTGATAAACCGTATTTTTGATGCAAAAAACGCCATATTTTTACAAAATACAAGGCTTCAAAATTTTTCAATAAAATTTAGGGGTGGTGAATCCAGTGCCGTGCTTAGATTTTGTTTAAAAAAATCGCTAATAAGAATTCTTAAAAATTTACTCTTAAAAACTGACATAGTAGGCCTTGTATTTTGTACTAATATGGCGTTTTTTGCTCCAAAAATACAGTTTATCAAGATCAACACTTTAAAACAAATCCGGTTAAAATCGCACAAAACATAAAGATTTTACAGGGGGTATTTCCATTGTAACGGGTGCGACACTAAAAATGCGTTTTTTCATGCTAATAAAGTGTTTGTTCATATATATCAAGATACGTTAATATAACAAAATAGTATGAAAAATTAGGTATTTAACTCAAACTAATTAGTACAAGTTTTTATTGACATTTAAATGTCAATAAAAACTTGTATAGAAAACCTTTTATAACGTCACGGCAAAGGCGACCAATTTTGGACGAACGCATATATTAATAATTTTTTGCGTATTTTAAATGCACAAAAATTGCATACCTACCTACTTACTTTATTTTCTAAAATTTTCACAAAATGTAACGGGTGCGACATTTGAACATTTTATCGAGTATTGAAACTCTCCGTATTTATTCTTAATGTTAGCTTCTTAGCATCACAATGTACGAATATTTTAAGGTTATAAATTACGTCGAAATTAAACTATTTGACTTCAGACATAGTTGTTATTTTGTTAAATAACACATCTGATTTTTTGTCAAGGTGGGGTAAGGTTTCGTTGAAATACCCAGGGGTGAGTCGCATACAATTGGGTCACACTGTATGTATATTAGGGTGATTCAAAAACAACTTTCTTTTGTTTTTTTTTCTCGGAAACACGCTCAAAAGTTTCGTATAGATATAAAAATGAGCCTGTGAAGAGATGAGCTCTTAATTTCAAAATTAAGATGCTCCGCATCGCACTTTTCGATTTTCCATAAGAATAACATGGGAAAAATTATTTTTGTTTCTTCTTATTTTTGTAACTAACGAACGATAGGTCATATTATAAAGTTATTGACATATTTTTGTAGATAATTGAACGTTCTACAAAAAAGGTTTCTTATGATTTTTTGATAAATTTGATCCTTTTAAAGTAATTTAAGGTCAAAGTTCAAATTATACGAAATTTTTGGGTTTTTTAACTTTTTTGGCGAATTTATCAAAAAATCATAGGAAACCTTTTTTTGTAGAGCGTTCAATTCTCTACAAAAATATGTCAAGAACTTTACCTATCGTTCGTTAGTTATAAAAATAAGAAGAAACAAAAATAATTTTTCCCATGTTATTCTTATGGAAAATCGAAAAGTGCGATGCGGAGCATCTTAATTTTGAAATTAAGAGCTCATCTCTTCACAGGCTCATTTTTATATCTATACGAAACTTTTGAGTGTTTCCGAGAAAAAAAAACAAAAGAAAGTTTTTTTTGAATCACCCTTATGTATATAATAAATAATATAATATAAATTTTTATGGATACTATAAATTTTATTGTAATATTTATTTTAACTCTTTACTATTAAAATCAATAAAAGACAATACGATGGTACCAAAGTCAAAATGGTAACGTTGCATTTGGTCCAAATCAAAGGTCAAGTCTGATTGTTTAATACAAGTTGATTGTCTTGTTTTGAAACAGAAAAGCCCACTTTCCGAATAATAATCTAATTTTTTTTGCAGCACCGAAAGTGGCTGGGACAACCCGTTCCGACCTGGCGGCGACCTGAGCCGAGAGGCCGACGAGATCGTCGAGCTGATAAAGGGCGGCAAACCCATCACCCCCACTCCGGGGGCGCAGTCGCCCCCCCTCCCCGACAACGGCGACGTCGTCGACGCCAACGGGCGCGCGCCGAACCTCGCCGAGCCGAAGATCAGCCCGAAGAAGGCCGCCGAGCTGAACCGAAGCCAGAACGGCAACGTGGCGCCGAAAAACGAGTCGAAGGCGGCGCCCGGCGCGGTCGACGTGCAACGCGGCAACGTCAAACCCGACGGCGACGCCTCGCAAGTGGAACACGTCACGATAAAAAAGAAACCCAAATGCAAGTGCTGTGTTATACAATAATCGGCAACATCGCGCCGATTCGGACATGTTACTACTAAATATAGCCTGCCTGCCGAAAAATTTTATCTGGACAAAAATATCCAACTATAATTTTTCGGCTGGGCTAATACTGTTAAATATTTTCTAGAATAAGTTCGCCATGTCGAAAACGATTAAGTTGACCAGTCCCGCTAAACGTAGAACAGTAAGATTAGCCATATTTTACAGTTATTTTGCTATAAAAACAGTTCCTACACTCGAAAATCGCTATATCCATGAAACATTGTCGATCTGGCAACGCCGCAGCTAACTTCACGCAAATCAACTGTCAAACAGTACATACATAACCTAAAAACAAAAAAGAGAATGACTGTTTAATATCGCTGTAAAATTTAAGATTGATATTATTAAAAGTGATAAAAACGGACCAACTTAGTCATTTTTCGTCAGCCAAATCTTCGCTTTAAATAAGCTTTGAATACCAGTCACACAAATACTAGTGCTAATTCTCTTGTTTCCTAAGGAATCTCTGATGAAATGAAAAATAAGTCAAGAAATTATACATATTTAATAAAAATGTTATATTGTAGTGAAAATATATAAATAAAATGATTGTATTGTGTACAGCGGTTCTTTACTTATTTTTCTTAAATGCTATTTGTTTAAAATATACTGAGGGTAGCTATTTTGCAGTTTGAAACGTCTAGATACAAAACAGGCCTATAATAGGCTACTTTTTGTACCTAGAGAGAATATGTTGTTTTATTTTGATTTTTTTAAACCGAGGCAACAATTTGCAATGAATAATTCGTTTATTATTGTGAATATATTTTTATATACTTAGTAGTTAGGCTATACAGGTATTTATTACGTAAATTTAAGTTATTATTTATATTAATTTTTTGTAATTCTCATATGTTTTTGAATTATTCCGAAGAATAATTCACAAAACGAATATCGTTTGCAAAAAATCCAGCATTTAATTAATTTGACTACTAATATGCCTAATATACGGTATATTATTCGGTTTTGTTTAAAAATTGTCTTTATTTTGTGGCGATCTAGTCAAAGAAACAAGCATACATAAAATGCATGCTATTTCTTACTTAGAAGTATGTAAAAAATAAAAAAAACATTCCAAAAAAATATTTTTCTGCTAATATTTACAATAATAAATGCGTCCTAGTACCTGTAATATTACCTGAAAGTTAAAATAAAGCAACTAAAATCAAGATTTATAAATAATAATAAATATAGTATTAATTCTTCTGAATTTTTCCTTTATTAAATACTTAATATTAATTTTAAGTATTTTATACTATTCAAACAAACAGAATAACCTTATATATTCTCATTTTATATAAGTAATTTAATTATTAAATAAAATAGAAATAAATAAGTTACTCTAGATAACCGTTTTTTATTTTCGAGACAAAAATGATCCTTAAACCATATAAAAAGTAATAAAATCATATCCAGATTTAACAAAAAAGAAAAAACATAAAAACAGCAATAAACATATCTATCAACACCAGCCTATTTATTAAGGATGATTTTTGGGCTCAAATATATTTCAAAAAGGCCCACTCACTTTTATGTCATCTATTTAAATGCAGAGGACAGAGTGACTGGGCTAATGGTAGAATTTCTAGTTTAAATCGCATACTGTACAATGAACATAAATTATTTTTATATAAATAAACTTATTTTGGACTTATGTCCAATCCACAGTGTATAATGAATGTGACTAACAACTACGAGGTGGCGTGGCATTTTTGACAAATAAAATGACAAAAGACTGTATTTACGTCAATTAAAATGTTTCAGCCACCTTTGATGCTTTGTTATTATATTGTGTTTGTGTGTCTGGGCTTAAAAACCGATTGTGAATCAAAATAAATTATTATTTTGGTACAAGGAACACCTGAAAAACTAATTGTTGATGTGGGTGAAGAGATTGTCTATATATTTAATATTTTTAGAGATAAACGGCCGTATGTACTTACGTTGATTTATTTGCATCGACTGATTTGATTTTGTCAACGTTGGTATGTACGGTCAAAAAAGAGTAACGTCCTTTATTTTGGGCTCTGCGACCAACATTAAGGATTCATATTTAATTTTTTTATTTGTAAAATGTTCGTCGTAAGGCCCTGTATAATATGTGTATGTAAAATACAGCTTTATATGCTTATATGGTGTATAGAATTTAGACTGTACATTTTTTGATTATTAATTGAATTGGTCAAACACATTTTTAACCAAAATTTTTATTAATTTTTCTTTTTTTTGTTTGTATTATATTGTATTATAAATTAACCTAATTTGTATACAAATCACATTGCATTAAATAATTTGTAATGTACACAAATAATTAGTTTTATTTTATAATGCAATACCCAATCTTTTAATAAAACTTGGTAGCAAAAATTGGCGCTCCAAAGAGTAAAGGTTAATTCCCCTTAAAATTTCCAGATGAGTTCTCCTGTACTATTTATACAAATTCGCAAAATTCCAAGAATTATTTATTTCTTAGGGCCAATGAGAGCACAGTGTTTCTGCTTTATGCTCTATAGTGCATATATGCACTGAATTTGTTTTTGTTTACTTTTTCCCAATAATAGATCATCAGCGTCTTTTGCACACAAAAAATATATAAAAAATTAGCAGAAACACTGCGCTCTTATGGGTGGCTTTAAAAATGAAATAACTCGTGCAATTTGGTATTACCATTGAGTAAGATCTTACTCAATGCTTATACCGTTGAGTGAAGAATCAATGCTTATACACTGAGAAAAAAGTTTATTGCTCCCAAATAAAAAAAATATTTAAATATGGGACAAGGGTACAGTTTATTTATCCTAAATATATTTTTATTCCCGACACATAAAGTTTTACTAAAGTATATTTATCGTTATTATTTCGACTATTTAGAGGTAATAAACAATATATTCACTATTAATAAAAGTATTAGCTACACAGTTTATTTGTCCTATTTTTTTCTCAGTGTACTTATAAATAATAAAAATTATGTTTGTATATAAGTTATCTATAAGCTGTCACACGTATGTCAGTACGGTGTCACGATATGGGTAGGTATATACGTATTTTTTTAATACTACGTTCTTACAAGTTTTGATATAGATAAAAAAATCAATTAACAAAAACAATACTCATTTTAATATAAATAAAACCATTGGACTATAATTGGTCTAAAAATCGTATAAAAAACGGAAAAGCTGAAGTTTTAACTATTTTAAATGTAATATTTTTTTTATTTTTTACTTTAAATATTGTGTTTAGTTTTTGCCTTAAACTTAAAACAATATATTTAGACCCATAGAAAACCCCAAAGGCCAATGGTCCGCGGTATTATTATAGAGATAACAGTGTTATTTCTATGGGAACCCAATAGGTACTAGGTACCTATTAATAATAATTAATTATGAAGAAATCATAATATTGCAATGGCTATTAACAGAGCCGGATTACCCAATAGGCTAAGTAGGCTATAGCCTAGGGGCCCAAGGCTTGCGAGGGGCCCTTAAAAGTCTTCAAATTAATGAAAAGAAAAGGAAAATAGAAGAACTAAGAAAATAATTTACTACTACCACTTTATTAATATAATAATAAAAAAATAATTATTATCATTATTTATACTAAATCTAGTTGCAGCGTGGCACGCACCGCTAATGTTAGTTTTTACTGCGATTTAAGATACCTAGACCGACCGACGCCTCTGCAGCTGCACTCTGCGCTGCAAAAAACTTATGTGAATCCCCGAATTTCAATTCCTAGCGTAAATACAAGGCGGAGTGCCTGGAGTAGTCATTTCATTATGATTATGTACGAGTTTCGTTTATTCGATAGTTGAAAGTTATTAATTTATAGGTAGTTATAGTAATAATTACAAAATTAGTTTGTATTAAAAAACTTAATTAGTGCATAGTGACTTAGTGTACATTATACAATTAAGTCAGTGTCTGTATATTATTGTCTAAAATGAGTAACTATCCAAGTGGGGCAAAAAAGCGTAAAATAGCTAAAGAAAGAGCTGTTTTTCAGGCGGCATCTCTAGCAAATGTTCCAAAAATAGACACATTTTTTAAAACACAAAATATTGATAGTAAGCAAAGGGGATTAAAAAACGGTTTGAAGAATTGGAAGTTGGAATTTTGTTGAAATTATGAAACGATATTTTAACAGAGTTCAATAAAGTTAGCAAATCGTTACAAGCTACTGATATTGATATTTCCTTAGCAGTGACTTTGTATGATTCACTAATTAAACATGTCTTACAACAACGCGAACGTTTTGCATATTACGAAGAATGTGGTAAAAAACTTACAAATTGTTCCACATACATATCCGATAATAAAAGAAATAAAAGTAGAAAACTACAATTTGACGAAAATAAAGATGGTGAAGTTACATTCAGTGGTAGAGATAATTTGCGCATAAATACTTTCTATATTATAATCGATAATATTATTGAGGAACTCAAGAGGCGACAAACTGCTTATGTGAACGTTTCAAATATGTTTGGGTTTTTATATTTAGAAAATTATTCAGAACAGAATATTATAAAACAAGCAAATTTGCTCCAGGAGCACTATCCAAACGATTTAGACCAAAGTTTAGGAGACGAATGTATTCGCTTTAAATATTTTATCGGAGAAATTAATTCAGGAATTAACAACCCAAGGGAAATGTTAAAATTTATAAGACAAAAAAAATTAACGTGTAGTTTTCCAAACGTAGATATTGCTTTAAGGATATTTTTATCTATGGCAGTAACTAACTGTAGTGGGGAGAGATCATTTTCTACATTAGAAAGAGTAAAAACTCATAAAAGAAATTCATAAGGTGATGAAAAAATTAATCATCTTTCTTTATTGGCCATAGAACACGATCTTCTCCATAAAATTCCTACTGAAAATATTATTGAAAGGTTTTCAACCCTAAAATCACGAAAACGATCATTTATTTAAATAGGTACATATTACCAGCTAATTAGTTATATATATTTTTAATGAAAATGTTCTAGGTTAATGTTTTTAGATATTATCTGATTTTTATGTACTTTTTTAAAAATAAACATACAAACCAGCTATTTTTCTTTCAAATTTGACTATCAAAAAAATGACCACCATAAAATAAATGGGGCCCTAAGTAATTTTTAGCCTAGGGCCTATTGTACTGCTAATCCGGCACTGGCTATTAAGAAGTTCTAGGATGAAAATATAAATAAATTGTTTTAAACGTAGTCCTGTTAATGGGCCCTGGGCCTATTGAATACAAATAGGTAATTAAATAAATAAATTTACCTACCAGGTATGGAAGAAACACATACTTCCACACAGTTATATATAACAAATCGTAACAAATACATGATTTTTGGAATTTTACTTTTAAAATAGTATTTTAAAAGTATTAAAAATCTAGGAGTGCCATCCAACATTTGGTAGTAAGGGTCAAATTGGAAAAATTTACAAACTTTTAGTATGTACACAGTTTCCTGTTTATTAAATTTAAGCTTTTAGTAATATTAAAATTTAATGGCTCTCTGCTTTTTTAACTTGTATTTTCACTTGCAAATAATGGGTGGCGCCACAAATTATTTCTTCCCACATACTTCCACACTGCGTGGAAGTATATGCCAATAATTAAAAAAAAAATACAATTGTACCAGGTACCCGTATAGGGGCTACTTTTGTACATTATTTATATTGAGAAGTTTCACATAAGAACTGATGATCAGAGGCGTATTTATTTACCTTGTTGCCTTTCTAGCAAACAATGGCAAAAAGGTGTTGTCGGTATCAGTTACTAACTGACCATACGTACAGAAAATTGGCTTTGGCGGTACGTCCTGATTAAACGTTTCATGTAAAACGGTACTTATAAGTACCGTTTTACATGAAACGTTTAATCAATAAAAAATGATAAATTTATTTCTTTTTTGTCTATGGACAGAAGTGAAAACCTTGTCGTCATTCGTTATGGCAAATTAAAAATTATTATTACCATTATTGCCAGGGCTACACTATTATTTGCCGTAATTAATTTAATGTAAATATTTCACGATTAAATAACTAAGTATTTTGATATTTTGTGTAATGAGACAAGAATCTCGAATAGAAGCCATTAATAACATTTATAATTAGTAATTACCCACTTTGATTTAAAATACTAGACAGTTTTTTCTTGCATAAGTAAATTCTACGAAATTTTAAATCTGCAACATTTTGTCTATCGATAGATTTATTAATAAACAATAAAAAGTTAAAAAATACCTATATAAAATATAGAATTTATTTTTAACTAACTTAAATTATTTTTAAATGAGTTTTTTGAACCAAGATATATCTATACCTATCTAAAAACTGCCCCCTACGCAACCTTTTGTTTATATTATTCTATTTAAATCATGTTTAAAAATAATTATACCTATAGGTATAATTATTTTTAAAAAACCTGTGCATATATGCACAGGTTTTTTATTTACTCACAATAATATAGTTATTTTGACTGATGAATCCCAAAACATTTTTTTATTAAGGACATCTAAAAAACTAAATTATAACAATTATCGACCCATTCGTGATATAACGTGTTGATATAATAATACATTAAAAATTTTTACCCATTATTATTAGATATGTGTTGGTTATAAAAAGGTAAGCATTTATTTTTGTAATGGATTTGTTCTATTGTTATGGTCTCAAGCACTTAAAAAGCCATGAACACTGTAAGTAAATATTTTTATTTTTCGAATATTTTGATGAGTTTTTAAAGTTAATTAAGTTATTTATATTTTTAGATCATCTTTTTGGCCCTTTTGGGTTTTGTATTTTGCACACCAACAGAAAATACCATAGCCGCCTACTCTACACCAATAGCACCGATACCTTACCTACGTTATTCGTATTTATATCTAGGTCAAGTACCGTACTTAAACCCTCCTTACGGGTACCAATACAACCCAAAACTGACAATACACGAAGACCACGATACAGATCATTTTCACCCGCACGATCAAGGTCACTTCGAGGAACCCTACGAACCCGTTTCCTTTCCGGTACCATTTGGTACCCCGATACATCACCACCCGCCATCTCATTTGGCTATTAATGGCGTTAATTTGGCCGGGTACCCTGCTTACGGACCTGATGGTATTCCCAGTGAAGAATCAGTGGTTTATGAGGATAATACCCCCGAATGTAGCTGTAAAAGAACGTATGGTATTAAAGGTCAAGTACCATATGGTAACCAACCAAATTTTGGTGTTCCATTCGAAAATCAGTTTAATACTGATATTCAGTCACCAGATAATTTATTCCGTTTAGAATTTAATACCAGAGCCAATGGTTTCTTCAAATATCTACATGGTAAACATGCAGAAACAGACTCAGCTGAAGCCTCAAACAATAAAGCTGCAGATGCATACGAAAAAAGCAATGGGGCTCCAACAGAAGAAGCAAGTTCCTTGTCACCAAATGGTACACCTGTAGCTGCAGCAAGTGATGAGAAAACAGCTGCAGTTGAAGCTTCTAAAGATAATAGTGTTGCAGATGTAAGTACATATAAAGAGAATGCTAAAGATACAGTATTAGCCACCTCATCACCAAATAGTGTAACGACTTATAATAAAATAGCTATAGTTGAAGATTTTAAAGATAAAAATGTCACAGGAGTAAATAAAAGTAATGACAAGGCTGAAGAAGAAGTAGCAACTACATCATCACCAAATGATGATAATATAGCTGTAGTTGAGGCTTCAAAAGATACTGAAAATAAAATGACCACAGAAGTAAATACAAGCGATGATAGAGACAAAGAGACATCTGAGGAATCAACAACATATGCCCTATCACCAAATAGTGCATCAAGTGATTATGAAACAGCTGCAGTTATTGATTATAAAAATAATGGTACCGCAATTAAAAAAAGTTCTGAAGAAACATCAAATAAAGCTTCAGTAGCTGCATTAACATTAAATGATGAAGATGTGGATGAGACAAGTAATACTGCTTCAGCCTTAAGTATAGGTGATGCAGTTGATGATGAAGATTTAGCTGTGACGGATAAAACAGATGCAGCTTCAACATCAGCTGACACCTTAAAAAATCCCAAGGCGTTGGAGAATGACATTTCTAAAGCTTTACCAAGTCTTGCTAGTTAAAAAAAATATTACCAAATTGTATTGATCTAATTAAGTAAGAATAAATAGGTAAGCAAATATTACTTTTTCATTACCCTTTTTATATTTTAATATTTTGTATTTATAACAATATTTTTTCTTCAATTTTCAATCTTAACCTAATGATTAATTTTGAAATTGCTAATGTGTTTAATATTTACAAATCTTTATTAAAAATTAAGTGAATATTCTGAAATCTTTATGAATCTTATTAAAAAAATTAATTACAAAAATCATTAATTTACCTAAAATTAGTTTTGCAAGAAGTCGTGTACTTAAGTTTTAACTTTTTTTATATTCAAATCACGTTTGGTAAGAAATTAATCATTCTATCGCAAACAACTTAATAAAATCCATTAGTTGGAAAAAAAATTATGCATACGGGATAATTACGGTTAAATTTTATAATAACCTTCACCCTCTAAAATATTTGATGTTTGATTATTGAAATCATCTTCAAAATTATGTACACATGGTGGGGATTTACAGATATATAAATATTTAACAATGTTACCATCAATCATAGAATCAAATAGACAATCAAAATGAAACAAGTAAGTAGAAAAACAGGCAAACAAAAAAATAACTAACAAAAAATAGTCAATTTTAGTTTTGGCCCTTTTCGGGCTTGCTTCTTGTGGACGCTTGGAAAATGTTAAATATCTACCACCAAGTGCTAATGGAGACTTCAAAAGTGCCCTGGGTCCTGATGCAACACCCTCTCAAAATCCTGGGTATCAATATACCAAATCTGGAGAGTTAGCTCGCCAAGTTGCTTCTGGAGAAGCAAACCAGGTAATATATACCTACCTACATAAATAATACAAGATTAAGAATTTTTGTTTTTAAGGAGACACACACTGGAAGCTCAGCTGGCCCTGAAGGTCAATACAACATTAACGCGCAAGGTGCTATGTCTGGACATCTAGGTGGCCAACATTCCGGTGTTGACATACCAATTTTGAAGCTGGAAAACAACAATAACGGCGATGGAACCTACAATTATTTATACGAGACTGGTGATGGTATTAAGGCTCAAGAACAAGGTATGGGAGGTGTTAAGGCTGAAGGAGGTTTCTCTTATACCGCCCCTGATGGTCAAACCTATGAAATAACTTATATTGCCGATGAAAATGGTTTCCAACCTCAAGGTGCTCATCTCCCAACTCCACCACCAATTCCAGAAGCTATTTTGAAGAGTATTGAGTTAAATAAAGCTGCACTAGTTAAAGGGGGTAATTTGGAGGGCCAATACGATGAGGCTAAATACGGCGATGGTGCTTATACTGAAGATAATGGTTCTCAAACTCCATACGAAGCTGCTAGAGCTCCTACAACTTCATTTGGAGGTCCTTTGGTCGAAAGAACTCCATCTGCTTACAAAGGTTTAGCTGCGAGTAGTCAGTTCGGAGGTTCCTATGGACAAAAAGAGGTTCAACAGAATAACCAGGGTACAGAAGAAAGTATTAATAATGGAGGTTATAAATACTGAGTGTTTTTTAGATATGTGTTCGGGGTTTACGGGTTTAGTAAATAATTATTTATATATTATGTATTTATTTATCTAAAATTAATAAAAGTATGTTTATAATGAATAGTTTTTTATTACTTACATATTTTAAAAATAATTATAAATAATCTTTGATTTATATACAGGGTGTAACTGAAATGCTAGGCCAAACTTCACCAAGATTATGTATGGAACAAAACTGCAAAACAGTTCTTACATGTCTAGAAATGTTTTCTAAAAAAGTTTCATAAAAAAATAACAAAAAAACGCAAACATTGCGTAGCTTATAACTAAGTATTTTATCTACTCCCTCATTGATGAGCTATGACTTAATGGCGTTTTAGTCACGGGCTGAAGTAAGCAATAGTGGCTTTTGAGCATTTTAGTCACGGGCTGAAGTTGGATTTATTATAAATTGCGAAAAAGTGAGGTTAAATCCGTTGACAGATGTCAAATGTTTAAATAATAAAATAAAAATAAAAGTATAGTATGCAACTCGTTTTATAAACTTCTCTAGACGCTCGTTTTTATTAATCACTCGCGTTAGACTGAAAGACCTTTTGGTATTCAAGACCCCCCCAAGACCGGGGGCCCTGGGCGGACCACCCCCTCCGCCCCCATTTAGTCCGCCACTGCTGTTATTGAATGTCGACAAACAAGCATTTTATAATATTTTATGAATTTTTATTTTTAAAAATGATACCAAAAAGTTTTGTGACCAAAATTCTCTCTTTACTAAAAAATTGCAAAAATAGCAGTACACCTTTTTTGGTAAATGATAAATTGAGCAAATTTAATTTCAGAATGATTATTTAAAAATAATAATCATTTATTGAATGATTTAGTTTTAATTTCATTTAATACAATTTTTAAACAAAACCCGACATGTCACACATCTAAAAGTGGAAATATCCAAATTGAAAAAAAACGCTATTTCTGTAAAACTGGATTCAAATGCAGTGAATATCTTCGTGAATAATGAGCATCAGGTGTCTAATATCAAACCCATCAAACTCCATTTGAGTTACATTTTCAGAAACTAAAATATACGAGACAATCCATATGAAAACGCCGAAATTCGTTGCACGACCAACTTGGATTTTGCTCAAATCAAAGGACAAAATCCACCCTTATTTATTTTTTCGCAATTGTCAAATCCGGCCTAATCGAATTAAAACTTTTTAAAAACGTCATTTTTATGCTTTAATAATTTAAGTTGTAAATATTTTTTCTATTAAAGATATTTTAAATGCTAAGATGTCATTTTAAAGCTTAAAAATAGTAGTTTTTATAAAAAAAATATAAATTCACTCAATCAATATTTCTAAATAATTACACGGAGCGGAAAAAACATGTATTTTACTAATTTTTCGTGTCTCGGCTGTTTAATATGAACAGCTAATTTTTTTCATATACGAAGACAAAATAAAACTTATAATTGACCCGTTTGGCATACGGTTTCAAAAAAAAAATTGCTTGAAATTTTAAATTTCTAGAAAATAGCATTATTTAGGCCATTATATAAGGATGTTGACTTCCAAATAGAATTATGAAATTTACAGGATAATTAGCCCCTACCTTAATTCTCAAATGGCTGGTAGTTTGGTTTTGTTATTTTCATCTTTTAAGGTTATACAGTAGTAGCTTATAAAAATATTGAAATAATAAAAAGTCGCATTATTTCATCCATTATATAAGTATGTTGACTTTAATATAGAAAATTATGCAATAGGAGTATTTAAACATTAATACATTAAAAATTTTTACCAAATAATTAAAATAAAAAAAAAATGTAAAACGTTGCTTTTTTATAATTTTAGCATGTTTTTAATATTTATATAAAATATTTACATACCAAGGTGTGAAAATTTTTAATTTGTATTTTTAAAATTAAGTTGTAAACAACAATTTTGTATAAAAAACTTTTATCCGAAATCGGCAGTAAAGTAGTCAACAATCTGCAGTAAAGTAAAAGAAATCGGCAGTAAAGTAGAAATTTACTGCCGATTTAATACGAGTATTGTATGCAACCCATTATACATTTTAAGATGTGTCTACTGCTCCTCAGCAGCAACTAAATAATATTTAAAAAAAAGCAACTTCGCGGACGTCGATTGGACCCTTTTATAAAATGTTTTTTAATAAAAATAAGTTAATTTTAGTTAATTAGATTAAAAAATCGCCGCGGCGGGCAAATATATAATAACCGTCGCAACAATCAGTATACGTAGACACTTCCTACATTTAAATGATATTTGATTGGATCATCAAATGACATTTGATTTAATCATCAATATTAATTATTAGTATTATTAAATGTGATTATTTCCCTCATTATAATATCAAAAGCCTTGAATTTTCGAAAAAATTTCGTTTAAATAAGCGATTAAATCACTAGAACTATTTAACAGCGACTATTTCCCTCGTCTTAATTTCCACCAATCACAAACGCGCAATTTTGAATTACAAAAGGTTTCTAGGTGAAAAAACTGTGTGACAGCACCTGTCAGCAGTTTATTCGAGTTTACCCGCGGCAAAACTTGACAGCTGTTGTCAACAAAAATTGCAATTTATATTTTAATTGTTAACTGTTACTCATGAAATAGTCTTGTCAAATACCATTCGGGCATCTAATTTTTCCTTTGAAAAAAATCGAAAAAACACAATGCTAAGTAATATTTTTCAACAAAATGCATTCGTGCAGGTGCAAAAATCCTCCTCTTTGACTCGGATTTTTGTTGCCACCAGCACTCATGCTTTTTGTTAAAATATTACTTAGCAACGTGTTTTTTCGATTCTTTTCGGAAAAATTAAATGCCCTTATGATATTACTTACGATTAAATTTTAGCCTCCATATTGGATTTTTGTTTACGATTTTATGGTGTTATTTACAAGTTTTAACAAACATTTTTTAAAAAACAATACAAAATAAGTTATCTAGTTTACGAAACATCAATTATTACTTATTACATACCTTAAATTAATGGAATTTTCTTTAAAAAAATATTTATAAATTTTGACACATACGTCAGATTTTATGAATTGTCAAATAGTTTCCTTTAATTCGAGAAATAATCTAGACGTATATCACTCAACCTATAAATTTAATCTGTCAAACTATGCTCAGTAAGTTTTTTATTTGATTTTTCTTTTTGGAAAATAGTTTCATGCAAAATAATTAAAAATAAAACCCCTCGACCGCTACGCGGTCTCGTGATTTTATTAAATTATTTTGCATTCAACATTTTCCAAGAAAAAACAAACATCTGAGAACTACTGAGCCTAGTTTAACCAAATAAATTCATAGTTTTCGTGATATAATATATGCACTGAAAAAAAAATATTCTTGTATCAAATAAATTTATTTGATTCAAAACAATCTGTGTCTCATATATAACGAAGAGAATATATTCTTTAAAATAGAAAAGTATTTTCTTAATTCACGTTGATTTACTTTAAGAATATTTTCTTAATGTAAGAAAATTAAATTTCTTTAAATAAAACTTTGATTGTTTAAAAGCAAGAATATATATTTTTTACAAAAACAAAGAAACACTGCATAATTAGGCATAAAATTTAAGAGGAACGTGTCGGCATCCCCACTTCTACGCAGTTTTAAGAATATGTATTCTTGGCAAAAGAAAATACTGTTTATAAAAACAAATAAACAAATTTAAGAATATCTATTTCTTAATATAAAAAAATTAAAAATATCGTATTCTTGATATAAAAATATTAACAATTGTACCAAGAAACCAACTTAGATTTCGTTCAAGAATATTTAATATTTGAATTAAAACATGCAACTTTTTAAAACAAGAACCTGTTTCTTAATACTAGAATATTTTCAAAAATACAAAATTCTTTTTTAAAGAAGTTAAATATTTTTAATTGAAATATATATTCTTATTTTAAAGCAAGTTGACTTGAATTAAAAAAATATTTTCAAGATGATTGGTATTCTAAATGTAAGAAATCTTTTTTTTCAGTGTGATAAAATTTAAAATGCACCTCGGCATTAAAGTCATTTTTCTTACTACCTCGACTCAAAATACGTTGTTTCGTCCCCGATTTCACGGCAGAAAGTTTACGTTTCTTGCATTGGTCAAGCTATACGCGCACACTCTAATAGCGGGAGTAAAAATTTTTTAGTCGTGTGCTTAACATTCAAATTTCGTACTGCCAACATGAGAAACACAAAAATATGACAGTTTTAAACCATAATTTTGCAATTATAACAACAAATAAACAATTTATGTTTTTACTTTTTTACTTTTTATGTTGTTTTAAGTGTTTAATGGTACTTTTATTTGTTATAAAGTAATAATTTGTTAATTAAAATACAACGTTTTATTTTTACTGTATTGGCACCGCTGAATTACCATGACAACGCTACAGTTTGATTGATTTTGAATGTAAACGTCAGAATTAAATTAAACGTCAGATTTTAATTTTGACACAAGTTTTTTTATATACATTTAATTTTTTCCCGTATTTTCTGCGGGGTAGCAAGAAAAATAGTATACACTACACGGGCAGAAAATGTGAGAGCCCTGAACTGCGCGCCATGATGCCCTCGGCTTCGCCTCGGGCATCATGGCGCGCAGTGCAGGAATCTCACACTTTCTGCCCTTGTAGTGTAATATACTATTTTATCACTCACTTGGTTATTTGCCTAATTTCCACATTCGTGATAAAAATATGACTTACTGCCTTGATACATAAATGGCTATTTAACCTAACAAATGTAAAAATTGTAGAATTTGTCAATTAGTAAATAATCTAAAACCTGGCGCATTCGCCATTCTTGAAAATAGTCAGGGAGGAAAAAGGTATAAAAATGCTAAAACTATTGTATTACACCTTTATTACAACATCACAATCTAACACAATAACTTAATATCTGTAACCTCCATTTCCGTTACCGGTGTTAGCTGCTGGAGGAATGTAGGTACGCTGGGCTGGAGCCGGACCTGCATTTACTGGAGCCCTGTACTGTTGCTGAGAAGTCGAGTATTGTTGCTGTGGAGCCCTGTACTGCTGTTGTGGAGCTTTGTATTGCCCTTGTGGTTGTTGTCCAAAGGGGCTTTGGGCTACTCTGTTGAACTGTTGCTGTTGTTGTTGTTGTTGTGGAGCTCCGTACAAAGCATTTGGGGCACCGTAGGTGGCTTTAACTTCTTGGTTGTATTCTTCGTTGTATTGGCCGTCTTGGTTTTCACCACGAGCGGCGGAGGCTTTGTTGTCTTCGATGGACTTCAAGATGGCTTCTGGGATTGGTGGTGGGGTTGGGAGATGGGCTCCTTGAGGATGGAAACCGTTTTCGTCGGCAGTGTAGGTTACTTCGAAACTTTGACCTTCTGGGGATTTGTAGGAGAAACCGCCATCAGCTTGGATGCCTCCTGAACCTAGACATATAATGATAAAAAAATAAAAAATCACATAACTTTGTTTAATAATTGACATTGGGTCTTGTTAAAAACTGACAATGTAAACTAGGGTGATTCATTTCCGCAAAGTTTTTGGTTTTTTGTGCTCAAGCAAAATATTAATCTGCATATAGGAAAAAACATTCTCACCAAGTTTGAGCTCTTAATATTAATTTTAAGCACTTACTATTTAAATTTAAAATGCATGTAAAAAATATATATATTTTTTCAAATTTCTAATGCTTACCCACCTTTGACAATATTGCAAATCGGTTTAATACACCTTATGGGAAATTTCACGATCTTTAAAATTGCTTTTGAGTTTTTTTTGTAATTCGCATTGGTTCACCAGTAGGAGTCGTCAAAGGACAGTTTTTGAAAAAAATCGTTTTTTTTTATTTTTTCGAGCAAATTGCCAAAAGTAGTGAGTAAAAAGGGCTGATTCATAAAAAAAAAGTTATCCAACCAATATTTAATGAATTTACTGCCATGTTTATAACTGAAAACGTAAGAAATTGATAAATACCAACCCATAATGTTATTTAGATTGATTTTTTCTATTTATTATCATTATATTTCCCTAAACTAAGAACTTTTTTAAAATTATTATGATTTCTCACTCATAATGAATATGAAAAAACACATAAATTCATAAACAAACAACAAAACTTTAATCGGAATATACAGAAGGTTATGTAACATATTTCAAATTTCGCTTCAAAAAATTAAATAATCTTCATTTATATTTTTTTGCTATATGACAGAAATGTTGAAAAATTGCAAAATCCACGTTACAATTTTCTTATTGTTTTTTTATGAATTTATCTGTTGTTTTCATATTCATTATAAGTGAGAAATCAATAATTTTAAAAAACTTCTTAGTGTAGGGAAATATAATGATAATAAATAGAAAAAATCAATCTAAATAACATTATGAGTTTGGTAATTATCAATTTCTTACGTTTTCAGTTATAAAAATGGCTGTAAATTCATTAAATATTGGTTGGATAACTTTTTTTTATGATGCAGCCCTTTTTTCTCCCTACTTTTTGCGGTTTGTTAGAAAAAACTTAAAAAAAAACGATTTTTTTTCAAAAACTGTGCCTTGACGACTCCTACTGGTGAACCAATGTGAGTTACAAAAAAAAACTCAAAAGCAATTTTAAAGAGCGTGAAATTCCCCATAAGGTGTATTAAACCGATTTGCAATATTGTCAAAGGTGGGTAAGCATTAGAAATAAAAAAAAAATTTTTTCATGCATTTTAAACGGTAAAACTTTAAATTTAAATAGTAAGTACTTAAAATTTATATTAAGAGCTCAAACTTGTTGAGAATTTTTTTTTCTATATGCAGATTAATATTTTGCTTGAGCACCGAAGAAAACAAAAACTTTCCGGAAATGAATCACCCTAATGTAAACCTTTGGTAACAACAGGCTTAATTAAATTTATTTTTACCTTGTTCTTGAGCTTGGATGCCATTTTCGGTTTCGTAAAGGAAGTTGTAGGTACCATCACCATTATTGTTGTTTTCCAAACGTACGATTGCTGTTTGTTGTTCAGCAGATTTTTGGTATTGGTTTCCAGAGTATCCATTGTATTGTCCTACACCTCCAAAGTTTCCAGAAGCTTGATAACCTTGCTGGGACGATACGGCACCTCCAAAAGCCTGTCCGGATGATTTGGAACCGAAAGCTGGGGCACCATAGGTTTGCTGTGGTGCTACAGAACCTTCAAAAGATTGTTTAGCAGCGAAAGATGGAGCTCCATAGGATTGTTGAGGTGCTACGCTGCCTCCAAAGGCTTTGGAAGCTCCGAAAGATGATCCAAAACCTTGGGAAGCTCCAAAAGTTCCAGAAGATCCAAATGAGGAAGTTTTGCCGAAAGATCCTGTCGATTGGCCACCGAATGAAGGTCTTGGGGCAAAGTTAGTACTAGCACTGTCTTGGTAACCTCTTCCATTGTTGTTTGGAGGAAGATATCCGTTATCCAAGCGTCCACAGGCTGCGAAGCCGAAAAGGGCCAAACATAAAATAGCCTTAAACAACAAAATAAAAAATGTTTTAAACTTGAATTTGAATATAGTTTTTTACTTACTTGTTTCATGTTAATATTGTATGTTCAATTAACTCGAAGTAACTGATATCGAATAATTTGGTAATTGCGTATATATATACCTAGACACATATGTAATTAGGATGGATGGGTCGCCCCCCTTTTAAAATTAAAAAAGATGCGATTTATATTCGGAGATGAACCAGATTATTTTACAAGGTCTTTGCTTGGTATTACAAATTTACGCCAAATTATTGTTAATACTTAACACGGTACTTGCTTAAATGTTAAATGTGAATATTCCTACTTTTATTTGATTTGAGAGAAGGTAGTAATTGCCCGCTCATGTGTAATACTGTATGTTATACAATTGATTTTTATCGTAAAGTAATTAAAATTTTTATTTATTTTTCTTCATTTTTATGACTTCAGATGCACTTTTATTGTAATGCGTAATTCTTACAAAAATACTAAATCGGTTACAATCAGAATTTATAATTACGATAACTATACAGGGTGAGTCATTAAACTTGAAACTTTGAAATATTTCAGTTAGAATGCATTTTACGAAAAAAAATTAAAATAAAAATTAAATGATTCAAGAGGGGAAATCAATCAGTACTAAAATTGGTCCTCATACTCTCCTCCTTATAGGGGGAAAATTTCCAATGGAACACCCTATTTTTTATTGCAGATTCGGATCATTCCACTAAAACAGGTAGATTTTGTCCAAAACATGTTTTCATATTTGTAATAGATGGCTGTAATTAATTTTATTCGACTTTTCTTCTTTATACGATCCTCCAATAATTTTTGAATAAAATATTTCTTAAATTTATTTATTTTTTTTTTAAATTTTAATTAAAGTAGGTGCTCAAAATAACAATATTAAATATTTGCTCGACGAACTCTTTTTTTCACTCCCGTTTGTAGTAAACTGCTTAAGTATACGGTGAAATAAAGTACGTGATCGATTTTTTTCCGGAAAACGCTGAGCGTAGTTATTAACAGCATCATCAAGATTCCTGCCTGCTTCTCCATAAATATTTTTTCTTCCACTGTTAAAAAATCCATTATGAATAACTGCTTAACGAAAGAAGGTCTTTTTTTAAATTAATCTTCGAACTAAATTGATTAAATAATGCCAAACTATGTATAAATAGTTACTTTATATCTCAATAATAATTATTATTTATAACTAGATACCATTTTTTATACCTCAATTAGGATTAAATTAATTAATTGACAAAATAATGTTTTTTTTTTACCTTAAATGAGGTATTTTTTATTAAAAATAGTAATCCTTTAAATTAAAGGATTTAATGCTGGCAGGTAAAAAGTGACCATGGTGCGCAATTGATAATAATTATCAAACAAAATCAATTTTGTTCGATTTTTCTTCTTATACGACTCTGCAATAATTTTTCTATAAAAATATCACTTTTTTTGGTAATACCCACGATTTTTTAACTAATAATGAAGTTTCCCTTGGTTTAAGTTTTAAATATTATTTCATTCGGTGATAATTATTATCACCGAATGAAATAATATATAATTATTATCACCGAATGAAATAATATATAAAACTTAAACCAAGGGAAACTTCATTATTAGTTAAAAAATCGTGGGTATTACCAAAAAAAGTGATATTTTTATAGAAAAATTATTGCAGAGTCGTATAAGAAGAAAAATCGAACAAAATTGATTTTGTTTTCATTACAGCGCCATCTATTACAAATATGAAAAAAAATGTTTTAGATAAAATCTACCCATTTTTAGTCGAATGATCCGAATCTGCAATAAAAAATAGGGCGTTTCATTGGAAATTTTAAAGTTACCCCCTGTTCCCCCTATAAGGAGGAGAGTTCGAGGATCAATTTTAGTTCTGATTGATTTCCCCCCTCTAATCATTTAATTTTTATTTTAAATATTTTTTCGTAAAATGCATACTGTGAGATATTTCAAAGTTTCAAGTTAAATGACACCCTGTATATAACCCTGAATTTGCTCCCAACTATCACATATTGTGTGTTTTTGGTGGTATAAATAAAACAGTAGGTTTGGCTCATTCCTACTATGGCAGTTATTGGAAAACTAGAGCACAAGTATAATTTAAGGTGCCGATAACATTGGTCGACAAAATAAATTTTTTTGTTTGCCACAGGGGAGCCAACAACACTTGAATGAAAAATGATCACCATTTTGGTCAATTATCCATTTTTTCGAAATATTTTTCGATATGCAAACATTAAAATTCGTATATATTTATTTTAATCAAAGTCCCTTGAAAACGAAATAAAATAATACCAAAAATGAACTTGATCTAAGCATAAAAAACTAAGAGTTAAAACAAAATACGTGCATTTTTGTAATGATTACATGTGAGTTTTAAGAGGTGTTACTTTTTTCAGAGGATTTTTTTTAGAAATTCCTACGACTTAAGCAGTAGCGTGCGGTGGGTGTAAGGGCGGAGGGAGCGAGCTATTTTAAGGGCGAGAATGTTTTAATTAATTAATTAATATCAGTTCAAGGTCTTCGCAAAACAGCGTGGTTTTATTTCGTTAAAAATAGTTTTTTAAGGGACTTACTTTATAAATATGTATATTTTATAATATATATAATTTTTTTTAGCTTCAAAGGCTACCCTGTGGCAAAATGGCTGTTGACCAGTGTAAAAGGAGAATCCTATAAATATGTATTTTTTATAAATACTAAATATGCACTTTCAAATTAAAATACGCATTACAGCTACAAGTAATTTAGATCATGATCAAGGCTGGTAAATGCAAATTTCTTGTTTTTTTAATGTTAATAAACAGCGAAATAAAATGTTATAATTATTGAAATTACCTCTTTTCAATGATAATTGTGTGTTTATTGCTCTGAAAAGATGATCTTCAATTATGATTTTATGATCATGATAATTTTGTTATTTAAAAGAAATTTATTTATTATGGGCATTCTGAATAAATTATTATTAAATGTTTTAAAATGTTTTTTCATGTCAAATATTGTTTTTCAGTTGAGATATGTTGGACAATTTTTGAGGCCAGTTGTTGATTATAATATTTTTATGATTTTTCTAGGACTTTTCTGGCAATAAATTTTGTTTGACACCAAAGAAAATCCTTTTTTTTCTTCTTTAAAATTAACATCCGCTTATTGTAAATAAGTAAATTAAGGACGGCAAGCCCAATCGATTTTGATATTAACTGTCAAACCAATGACTGTGATACCAACTATCTAAAGTAAAATTCGGCAAAATTAAATTTAAGGTATAAAATTAATTATTTTATAGAATTTTTGCAAAAAAGATAAAATAGCATAAAGAACTCATCTCATAAGTCCTTTTGTCGCACTCGTCCATTACAAAACTCGCTCCTTCGTCGCTCGTTTTATAAATTTTTTTGGTCTTATGACATTAGTTCTTTAATATACTATTATAAAACCCATTTATAAATGGGTTTTATAATATTATTAAAGAAACTAATGCTATACACGGTGTGCCTGAACGAAGTTTAAGTCACATAAAAATGCCGCCAAAAACTGATTGCAGTTTCTTGTTCGGGACCCTTTGGTGAATTAAAAATGATATTTACCAAAATCCTAGCTGAAATTTTTTGAAAATTTATGATTTTTTTTAAAATTTTTGTTTATTTCAAAGTCTACCTTTGAGGGTGAGCCAAAAATCGCTTATTTTTAATAAAGCAAAGGTTTAAATTCATGATTTTGGCATAACACGCAAAACAGATGTATCCCCATTTTTTTTAGATATTTCTACGTTTATTAGGTTACAAAATGGCATTCTTATTAACCTTTTATTAAAAAAAATAGATTTTTAATAAAATTAAATAAAATAACGCTTAGAGAATATTTAAAATGTTGTTTAATTTAGGCTTTTTAGAAGTTTTCAATTTTGAACGAAAAACTGGTTAAAGTTTTTTGATCGGCACTCTTTGGAGATTTAAAAACGATATTTACCAAAATTCTAACTGCTTTTTTTTAAATTTGTTAAAAAATCATTTTTTTTTAAATTATTTGTTTATCGCAAAGTCTACCTTTGCCAGACTACACATTTGTACACCGATTTTTATTGATTGCAGTTTCTTGTTCGGGACCCTTTGGTAACTTTAAAATGATATTTACCAAAATCCTAGCTGCTCCTCTTTTCGAAATTTAATGAAAATTCTTAATTTTTTTTTAAATTTTTGTTTATATTACCTTTGACAGAGTACACGTTTGTACACCGATTTTTATAATATTGGAGTATATTGTTAACGAGTCTTGGAGAATACTGTTTTCATACTGAGCACATCATTAGATTTATACAGGGTTAGCCAAAAATCACGTTTTTATATAGAAAAAAGCACAATGCACAAAACAGATTTATCTCCAAAAAAATTTATTTTATTTAATTTTATTCAAAATCAATTTTTATTATAAAGTCTTGATAAGAATCCACAGACCTGTGTAAGAATCCCATTTTGTAGCCTGATAAACATAAAAATATCTAAAAAAACATGGGTGGGTATATATCTTTTTTGCGTGTTGTGCCAAAATCATGAATTTACGCTTTTGCTTTATTAAAAGAAGCAATTTTTGGCTAACCCTGTATATATTAAATGATGTGCACAGTATAAACAGTATTCTCTAAATCTCCTTAACAATATACTCCAATATTATAAAAATCTGTCAACAAATGTGTACTCTGTCAAAGGTAGACATTAAGATAAACAAAAATTAAAAAAAAAATCATGAATTTTCAAAAAATTTCGAAAAGAGGAGCAGCTAGGAGTTTGGTAAATATCATTTTTAAGTCACCAAAGGGTCCCGAACAAGAAACTGCAATCAGTTTTTGGCGTCATTTTTATGTGACCTATAGGTATACTTCGTTCAGGCACACCGTGTATAGCTGCTAAAAAAGAATATGATGTCGAAGGTAACATCTTTCATAAGTAACTGAAAAAAAAATGAAAAATATGTTTAGTAATATGAAATGTTTAATTTACATAAAATTAATTGATTAAATCGTACTAGAACCTTCAATAGACCATATTAAGATTTTGTTAATTATAATGGATTGCAGGTATGAAAAAAAAGATCTGTTTGCCTTGATATATTAATGTGGAATTGTATAATTCAGTTTATGGGAATTTGATGGGTATACCGGCAATAACACTACCTATGATTAAATATACAGGGCGATTAATATTGTTTATTTATTATTATTGTCACATTTTTAAATATAAATGAAACACGATAATAATATTTACAAATAATTAACTTTAAATAAAAAGTTCTACCTTTTCAATTTGGGAGTCACCAGTATTTATTTCGTCATCAGATGAAACAATAACACTTGCAGGAATATATGTCATTCCAAATTCCGTAATAGGAGTAGACAAACTGATATTATTTTATAGATGACTCCCAAAAGGAAGAAAAAACAAGAGTGGAAGGAAGATGACATGAATTAAGCTATTAAGGCAGTTCCAAGAACTACGCTTTTTTGGTATTGCCAACAGCGAGATCTAACAAAAGAAGTGGTCAACAGTAAATTAGGTCGCAAACCTTATATTTTTTTAAACTTTGTATTTCTTAATCGTTAAATAAATATACAATTTTTCATAATTTACAAATTACCTTATTTTTACACAAACTCTTACACATTTATTCCCTATTCCACATTAACATACCCGGGTATTCCACATTATCATACCATTTTCCCAACTTCAAATGTCAACTAAAAAGAAAATATTTTTTTTTTGAATTTTGTGTTTCAAAAATGTCTAATAGAGATTACTAAAATGTAAAGTAAAGTACTAAAACCCCTCCACCAGACCTAAAGCCTCGTATTTATAAGTTTGGTTATTACAAATTTTTAAAGAAAAGGTATTCCACATTCACCGCCTTTACTCTACCAAATATATTGAATTTGTTACCTTTTTTATCTAGTTTATGCATGTACGGTAATACCCGCAAAGGAGGGTAAGGCCGAACATGAACCGTTTTTTGAAATACACATTTTAGCATTCCTGGCTTAATATTATTATTTGTATTTGTTTCCACCGGATATCACTACAGTGAACCTTAGGCTACGCCCACAACAAATTTTGAAGCTATATCTTCCAAGGTGTATCTGTAATTAATTTTAATGCTTAGGTGTACGTCAATACCCGAGGTTCCCCTACCCATATTAATAAGTAGGTACATCTCTTTTTTTCAATGGAATACGTACTTTAATAGCGTATTTTAAAATTTTTAAAAATGTTATTCACGGATTATAAGTCAGTGACAGATACCTAATCTCAATCCTACGATTTTTGGTTATTCGTGCCAGCGCGCTCGATGCAATATCGTCGGATTTACATTTTATTTCAAAATCGGAAATATTTTAATTTGATTAATTAAAAAATACAAAATAATTCAATTATTGACCAAAATCCATAAAATAATTTTTGTTCCAAACGACTCACTGATTAATAACATTTTTAAGTAATGTATTTTTTATAACACCATGTATATTATTATACAATATAGTGTAGAACAAAAAGATATAAAACATATTTAAGAGGTGCTATGATCACTTATGGGCTTTTATTGATTTTTGTAGGTATGTTACAATAATTTTAAACGAACTACAAAGTATTGAATGGTATATTTTTTGATGCGTTTGTAAAAAAAATGTCAAAATTTTAAAAATTGTGGAAACTACGGCCTTGCCTTTTTTTCAATAGTTTGCAATAAGCATAAGTAATATATCGGGAACAGCTCAACTAAATAAAAAAACACATTACCTTCATCGTGAACAAATTTTTTTATTAATTAATTCATTAATTCATTTTCATTAATTAATTAATTTATTAATTCATTAATTCATTAATTCATTAATTCATTAATTCATTAATTTATTAATTCATTAATTCATTAATTCATTCATTCATTAATTCATTAATTCATCAATTTATTAAATACTTAAATATTTCATTAATAAGTTCATTAATTTATTTATTCATTCATTCATTCATTCAATAAAAGGATTACGTTTTTATACATTTTATTTTATTTTCACTTTAACTATATTGATTAATATCCATATCCATATAATATATACAAATATTTCATGTTATTTTATAGGTTTTAGAATTATTATTATCTTCTAATTTTCATTTTTGTTTTAACTTTGGTTTAATTGGTTTTCGAAATCATACTCACCGCAACGGCACTTAAATAAAAAATACAGTCCCGAGATAATCGCGTTTACTAAACAATTATTGCAATATATTTTTTTAAATTTTGACGCTCCAATAAAAAATTGGTTTGGTTTATAATCAAGAAAATATAGTCACCCGCTATAATAATTTTGAAAACAAAAATACTTTTAATAATGTATTTCCTTTAGATATAAATGAATAGTTACTAAATTTAAATAATTTATTTTTTATTTTAGAAGATATTAACGAAAATATATTTTTTTAACACCCAGTATTTCAGAAAGAAACAATATTTGGGCATACTATAACTATAACTTTCTACATCCGCTGGTCCTGTTCTGCTACTAACGCTTAGGACACTCCTTAGTGTTCAACACTTTAAAACTATTTTCGTAAAATATTTTTCATATTTTATTGATTTTCTGGCATGTAATTTAGTATTTTTTAAAAATTCCTAAAATACACCAGGGTACAAAAAAGCAATTTAAAAATGATAATGTTTTGTGTAATTGCTGATGAAGGTATCCAATATCATACTTAACCAAAAACTTAGCTTTGACAAGCCTCGATACTGCTATAAAAACATTTATTTTGTTTAAAAATAAACTAAAATGATGATTTTTGTAATCATTTTAATAACCATTTAATAACCAATTGGTTTGAATGTTGATCTTAAATATAAAAAATCATACTAAAAATAATCACAAAGCTGTTTAACTATTAGAACTATTAGACAGCGATTATCATTTTTGTACTATAATTTACCACTTAATTTACCCATGGTCCCTTCAAAGAAAATTCCTTAATACGCCACTGCAAACGCCATTCAACAAAATGCTGAAACGTTTTATTTTGCTAGGATTAATTAGACTTAGGCCACAATACGTAATTAGATTAGATGTAAATTAATTTATAAATTAAATTTTATGTGTTTCAGAATATGGAAGGCAATTACACGAATAGATATGTGTGGATGTGTGTTTGTTAGTATTTCAAAATTAATTTGGGTGTACATATATGATAAATTATAAATATATAATAATGGGTGTAATAATTTTTTATGTCAATAGGCCAAGAAGGCCCTCTAGGCCGAATTGTATGCAACATTTTTTCTTCAATTTTATTTGACAATACAATTTAATTTACAATTAATTGAAATCTATTTATTTTATTTTTTATAAAAGGTTAATAAGAATGCCATTTTGTAACCTGATAAACGTAGATATATCTAAAAAAATGGGCATAAATCTTTTTTTCCTGTTATGCCAAATCATGAATTTACGTTTTTGCTTTATTAAAAAAAAGCGGTTTTTGGCTTCATGTATATATCAAATGATGTGAACAGTATTTAAAAGTATTCTTTAAGTCTCCTTAATAATATATTCTCCAATTTTATAAAAATCGGTGTACAAATGTGTACCTACTCTGTCAAAGGGAGACTTTAAAATAATCAAAAATTAAAAAAAAAGTCATGAATTTAAAAAAAAAATCGAAAAGAGGAGCAGCTAGGATTTTGGTAAATATCATTTTTAAGTCACCAAAGGGTCCCGAACAAGAAACTGCAATCAGTTTTTGTGGCATTTTTATGTGACTTAAGCTTCATTCAGGCACACTGTGATTAATTAGTATTATTAAATGTGATTTCGGATAAAATTTAATATGCACCTCGGCATTAAAGTCATTTTTTATCACTCACGTGGTTATTTGCCTCGGCTTTCGCCTCGGCAAATAATTTCCACATTCGTGATAGAAAATACCACTTTACTGCCTTGATACATAAATAACTATTATCCCGTAAAATGCACAGTTTCTGTAGGGTAGTAATTATAATCTAACTCGGTAATCTAAATAAAATTTGGTTTGTGGATTGGTTTAATGTTAAAATGATGCTAAGATGCTTTTAATTTCCTATAAAAGTTTTGTAATCGTTTAATTGTTTGTGCAAATTATCATCACGGATATTAAATTGTCGTCATCCTAGTTTTTTTCGAAAAACTTCAAAACCATACTATATATTCTCTTATAAAATATAAAAAAGAGTCAGTGGGCATTCTTCCTGGACAATTTAATTACTAATAGGTATTTATTATTATTAAAAATTGAATGCTGACATTTCGTAAATTTTAATTTAAATTTAAGTCCTGGTTTTAATTACGCACCCAAAAATCATCTCAATGCAATGTTTAATAATTATTGGCCTTGCATTTTGATATGATTGTTCAATAAAACCATTATTTAGTCATCGCAATAGAAGATACCTGAAATTTAGTGGGATTGACTTACATTTTCGATGGTATAAAATAATTGACCGATTTTTTTAGGAATCAGTTCACTTTTAATACCATATTAATTGTTACAACAAACGACTATGGAACAAGTAAGTTTAAAAATATAAAATGTTTTTAAAAAATAGTGACAAAAAAACAAAACTGTTTCTTTCAGATTATTTTTTCTATGTGCCTTTTGGGATTGGCCTCTTGCGGCGTTTTGAACAGCCAATATCTTCCTCCAAATAATAAAGGTAGAGGTGACTTCAATTTTGGATTGGCTTCACCAGTTAACAATTACAATAATTTTAACCATGGTTCTTCTGGAGGACCCTATTCCTCTGGGCCCAAAATAGCCATTTTAAAGTCTGAAAATATCAATAATGGAGATGGAACCTACAGGTATTCTTATCAAACTTCTAATGGTATCTCTGCTCAAGAACAAGGTAAGAAACAGGATTTGCTTTATTTTAAGACCCTAATACGTTTTTCTGTGATAAATTAAAATTGTTTATAATCAACCTTATGTTTTCAAGGTACTGGTGGAATTCAAGCCAATGGAGGCTTTTCGTATACTTCCCCAGAAGGTCAAAGTTTTGAAGTGACCTACACGGCTGACGAAAACGGTTTTCATCCTCGAGGAGCTCATCTTCCAACTCCTCCACCAATCCCTGAAGCCATCTTGAAGTCCATCGAATACAACAAACAACATGCTCTTAAACACCCCAACGAAGAAGGTCTGTAGTCATAAATTCATATTTCTAAAACTCTTACCAAAATCTTTTTAACATTATTTTGTTTTAGGACAATATAATCATGACCAATACCATAATGGTAACAGTAACAATTATTATAGACCAGTTGTGCCATCTAGGAACTATGTGCCATCCAGTCCAAGTAACGGAGGATACCAATATAAAAAATATTAATAATTTTGTAATAAAATGTATGTTTATTAAACTGGTGTTTTATTTATTTACATATTAAACTATTTTTTTTATATATCCAATCCTATAGGATTAAACTTACAAGCTCAGGAATTTCCAAATTAGTATTACTTAATAATGTTAACTAAAAAATTAAAATATAAATACGAAGATGAGTTACTGCCTTTTCTAATTTTCTCTAAATATAGATATTAAGTGATGTGGGGACTAAACCCGTAATTATTTTGTAAATATTTTAGTACCCTGAGCCGATTCTTTCAACACAGCAAATTTCCCATCATTTACTTGCTTACCTTTACCTCTCCTTTACCTTTATAAATTAAATCTAAAAATATTATAGACTTTATTACTTTTTGGATTTTTGCCTCGTTTTAAATATTTTTATACCTACTCCCTACTCCGATCAACGGAGGCAGATCGGAGAGCTATCATCGACCACTACGTCCTAATTCATCGTCTTGAATACATCGGCTCCGGGTAGCTACACGCTAAGTTTGTATATAGTTTGTGTATAAATGTGTATTGTATTGTATATTGTGTATATGTAGTGTAACAAACTTAACTTTATTACACTACATATACACAATATACAATACAATACACATATATTCACAAACTATATACAAACTTAGCGTGTAGCTACCCGGAGCCGATGTATTCAAGACGATGAATTAGGACGTAGTGGTCGATGATAGCTCTCCGATCTGCCTCCGTTGATCGGAGTAGGGAGTAGGTATAAAAATATTTAAAACGAGGCAAAAATCCAAAAAGTAATAAAGTCTATAATATTTTTAGATTTAATTTATAAAGGTAAAGGAGAGGTAAAGGTAAGCAAGTAAATGATGGGAAATTTGCTGTGTTGAAAGAATCGGCTCAGGGTACTAAAATATTTACAAAATAATTACGGGTTTAGTCCCCACATCACTCCCCTGCCAGTGATGAAGATCACGAGACTCCGGACTGGAAGCGATCGGAAAATCGGACGCGCCTTCCATGACGTGTGACGTTTTCTCGAAGTAGAAGGTCCAGACGTCTGGGTAGACAGATGGTTCTGGGCATCCAGCAATGGGATGTCTGCTTGGGGCATCTTGTGTTGAGTCATCTCGCGTTGAGGCATCTCGTGTTGAGGCATCTCGCGTTGAGAAGGATTGAAGCCGTTGAACGTTAGAGCTGTTGATCGTTAGAGCTGTTGATCGTTAGAGCTGTTGAACGTTAGAGCTGTTGAACGTTAGAGCTGCTGAACGATAGAGCTATTGAACGATAGAGCTGTTGAACGATAGAGCTGTTGAACGTTTGAGCTGTGGTTGTGGCCGTCATCCAGTGTTTGGATAATTGAGCTGTGACCGTCATCCAGCATTTGGATGGTTGGTTGGTGGTATCCAACATTGTCAACTGTCGTTGACCTTAGTGCTGGAACCAGTGTGGACCGAGGCTGTGGATATTGGCTTCCAGTACTGTCATATTGTGGCAGATCTTAGTGCTGGACATCAGTGTGGACCGTGTTGTGCACCGCAGCGTAGGGGAGTGCTATGAAGCTCGCTACGTTTGCGAATGATTGCCGTAGGCCGGAAGCTTTGGTCTTCGTCATGTTGGTAGCACTGATTTCTTCTTGCACAAATACTTGCATGTTCGTATCACGTCGGGGTCACCACTTTGGCGACCGCTTTGGTGCGGGTAGTTGTGTGCAAATTGATCGACAGCGAGGTATTTACAAACTTAACTTTATTACACTACATATACACAATATACAATACAATACACATATATACACAAACTATATACAAACTTAGCGTGTAGCTACCCGGAGCCGATGTATTCAAGACGATGAATTAGGACGTAGTGGTCGATGATAGCTCTCCGATCTGCCTCCGTTGATCGGAGTAGGGAGTAGGTATAAAAATATTTAAAACGAGGCAAAAATCCAAAAAGTAATAAAGTCTATAATATTTTTAGATTTAATTTATAAAGGTAAAGGAGAGGTAAAGGTAAGCAAGTAAATGATGGGAAATTTGCTGTGTTGAAAGAATCGGCTCAGGGTACTAAAATATTTACAAAATAATTACGGGTTTAGTCCCCACAAGTTACTGCCTTTTCTAATTTTCTCTAAATATAGATATTAAAGTTCGTTTTTCCAATAATGTTAAACAAATTTCGAATTAGGTGATAACGGTTGAATAATGTATGTATCATCTACAGGGTACACCAAAACCCAGCGGTTCCCAAATAGTTTGAAAAAAACTGAAAACTAGTCAAAACTAAAAAATCTTTATAACTTCGTTATCCCTGGGAATTTTAAAAATAAGTTAACTTACATAAACATCTACATTTTTATCCAGTGGATAAATTTTGTCTGGGAGGGTTTAAGCGTATGGAAGGGGAGGGGAGAAACATTTTTAAGTAATAATTAAAAAAATATATTTCTTTCCTTTGTTTAAAAGGTCTGAGCCTTGGAGGGGCTTAAACCCCCAAAACCTCCCATAGGCACGCCACTGTTTCATCCAATTTCTTCTCTATTAAATTTTGAGTTGGCATCACTATCTTTTATTTTTATATATTTATTTCTATGTAACCATCTAAAATCCAATATGAAAGTCATAGGAAAAAAATATGCTGGTGGTAACATAAAATCTAGTAGGCGAAAAAATCATTAATTGGATTAGAATTTAAAGAAATGTTTAAATGGGAAACTTATGAGTAGCCAGTATACTTTTTTCAAATTTCCAGGAATAACAAGGTTAAAACGATTTTTGGTTTTAACAGGTGTTCAGTTTTTTCCAATTTTTAAATGCCATTTGAATAAACTTGTAATTACGCCACTTTTGTCTAATTTAACCGACCTTGTAGCACTAGGTACACCCTGTAGGACAAAGTTATATGGTGATTCCCATTTTCTGTTAATAATTTAATAAAAAAAATATGACCACCTATATAATTTATTATACAATTTAAAAATGTATATTTTTATGGTATAAAATAATATTTATTTACTATTTAATATTAATATTTTAATCACCTGGATATTATTTTTTTAATGAAAATAGTATATTATGGATCAAGTTTCAATCATTTTAACCTTGTTATTCCTGGAAATTTAAAAAAAGTATACTGTCTACTTATAAGTTTCCCATTAAATTTTTTTTTAAATTTTAATCCAATTTATGATTTTTTCGCCTACTAGATTTTGTGTTACCACCACCATCTTTTGTTTTTCCTATGACCGCCACATTGGATTTTACATGGTTCCAAGGCTCAGAATTTTTAAACAAAGTAAAGAATTATATATATTTTTAATTATTTCTCTTAGATTAAAGGATGGGGAGAAAAAAATGTTTCTCAACTTCCATACGCTTAACACTTCCCAGACAAAATTTATCCGCTGGATAAAAATGCAGATTTTTGTGTAAGTGTACATGTAAAACTAGCTTAAAGATGTTTTTGTTTTGACTAGTTTTCAGTTTTTTTCAAACTATTTGGGAACCCCTTGGTTTTGGTGCACCCTGTAGATGATACATATTATTCAACCATTATCATCCTAATTCGAAATTTTTTTAACAATATTGGATAAACGAACATTTATATTTTTAGAGAAAACTAGAAAAGGCAGTAACTCATCTTCGCATTTATATTTTAATTTTTTATTTAACATTATTAAGTTTGTAATATTAATTTGGAAATTCGTGAACTTGTAAGTTTAATCCTATATATTCTATAGAATTGGATAAATCCAAAAAAATAGTTTAATATGTAAATAAATAAAACACCAGTTTAATAAACATACATTTTATTACAAAATTATTAATCTTTTTAATATTGGTATCCTCCGTTACTTGGACTGGATGGCACATAGATCCTAGATGGCACAGCTGGTCTATAATAATTGTTACTGTTACCACCATGGTATTGGTGATGATTATATTGTCCTAAAACAAAATAATGTTAGATAGATTTTGGTGAGAGTTTTAGAAATATGAATTTATGACTATATACCTTCTTCGTTGGGGTGTTTAAGAGCATGCTGTTTGTTGTATTCGATGGACTTCAAGATGGCTTCAGAGATTGGTGGAGGAGTTAGAAGATAAGCTCCTCGAGGAAGGAAACTGTTTTCGTCAGCCGTGTAGGTCACTTCAAAACTTTGACCTTCTGGAGAAGTGTACGAAAAGCCTCCATTGGCTTGAATTCCACCAGCACCTTGAAAACATAAGGTTAATTATAAACAATTTAAATTCATCACAAAAAAACGTATTAAGGGTTTTAAAATAAAGCAAATCCTGTTTCTTACCTTGTTCTTGAGCAGTGATACCATTAGAAGTTTGATAAGAATACCTGTAGGTTCCATCTCCATTATTGATATTTTCAGACTTTAAAATGGCTATTTGGGGCCCAGAAAAATAGGGTCCTCCAGAAGAACCACGGTTAAAATTATTGTAATTGTTAACTGGTGAAGCAAATCCAAAATCAAAGTCACCTCTACCTTTATTATTTGGAGGAAGATATTGGCTGTTCAAAACGCCGCAAGAGGCCAATCCCAAAAGGAACAAAGAAAAAATGATCTGAAAGTAACACTTTTGTTTTTTTTTGCCACTATTTTTTAAAAACATTTTATATTTTGAAACTTACTTGTTTCATACTCGTTTGTTGTAACAATTAATATGGTATTAAAAGTGATCTGATTTCTAAAAAAATCGGTCAATTATTTTATACCATCGAAAATGTCAATCCCACTAAATTTCAGGTATCTTCTATTGCGATGACTAAATAATGGTTTTATTGAACAATCATATCAAAATGCAAGGCCAATAATTATTAAACATTGCATTGAGATGATATTTTTGTGCGTAATTAAAACCAGGACTAAAATTTAAATTGAAAATTACGAAATGTCAGCATCTAATTTTTAATAATAATAAATACCTATTAGTAATTAAATTGTCAGGAAGAATGCCCACTGCCTCTTCTTTCTTTAATGAAAATAATATATTATGTATCAAGTTTTATAAGCGCCATTTTAGATACGAGTTTTATTAGGCTCGAGCGAAGCTTGTCAGCGAGTGTTTAATAAAAACGAGTATCTGGAGACGTTTATAAAACAAGTAGCTTACTTTATCTACGACGAACGCAAAGAAGAATTTAAAGCCAATTTTATTTGTTAAACATTTGACATCTGGCAACTTAACGGAATTAACCTCACTTTTTCCTTATTTATAATAAAGCCCGTGACTAAAATGACAAAAAACCACTATTGCTAATTTCACCCCGTGACTTAAATGCCATTAAGTCAAAGCTTGTCAATTTAGAAGTAGATAAATGATATTATTGTTCTTTGAAGTCATTTTCCCCAAAAAATTTGTTTTTTAGTTGAATAAGTAAATATAATTAAAACACAAGTTTAATAAATATACATTTTATTACAAAATTATAAATCTCATCTTAAATAAAAAATCCAAAATAATTTAATACAAATCTTCTCAATATTGATATCCTCCGTTGCCTGAATTGGATGGTACGTAGGTCCTAGATGGCACAGCTGGCCTATAATAATTGTTACTGTTACCACCATTGTATTGGTCATGATTGTATTGTCCTAAAACAAATTTTTTTACAGATTTCGGTAAGAATCACAGAAAATTAAATTGTTTACAGACCTTCTTCGTTAGGGTGTTTCAGAGCATGTTGTTTGTTATATTCAATGGATTTCAAGATGGCTTCTGGGATTGGTGGAGGAGTTGGGAGATGAGCTCCTTGAGGATGGAAACCGTTTTCGTCAGCCGTGTAGGTCACTTCAAAACTTTGACCTTCTGGGGAAGTGTACGAAAAGCCTCCATTGGCTTGAATTCTACCAGTGCCTTAAAAAATAGGTTTACAAAAGTTTATATACAAAAGTGCTCTTTTAGTTCCACCCTTACTTCTTAAGAAGTCCCTTAAGCCAACTGAATGGCTTGTGCGGGTTAGGGGTAGGAACGGACCGCGGGCTTAAAGTCCCCTCCGAAGGACTATTTTTTGGTTATATACAATTTAAATTTCACGAAAAACGTATCCATACACAGTAAAAAATATTTCGGTGTAAAGTTACCAAATGGAGTGGTAAAATCATTTGGTGTTAATTTATACACTAAAATTGGTCAAAAATATTAAGTGTTTATTTTAAATTGTGGTAAAATTCATTCGTGTTAATTTAAATTTATTTTACACAGCACCGTGTCAATCTAGTGTTAATTTAAAGATAAACTCGACGCAGTGTACATTTGACACTATATTTGTTGACAGCTACACACATTGTGGTAAAAAAAGTCACGTAGTCATCACCATTCGATAACGGCAAGGGAGCGATCAGTATTCCGAGTGCAGTTGATGGTAGTGTACCTATGCATGCTATTTTATAAAATAAGACCATGGTTTTTAAATTAAAATTCAGTGGTCGGGTAAAGTGGTGCAATGTGACAGTGGATGCTACTTATGTTTGTGATATAACATGTTTTTTTTACCTGTGATAAGTATATATACCTATATAAGCTAAATATGGTTTTGCACAAACTGGAAAAAACTTAAAATATTAAGTACTACTTTTCATTCAAATAAAAAAAATTATTAACACATCTTCGGTATAAGAATACACCTAAGTAGTGTTAATCATTTTTTTTTTTAAATTTTATGCCAAAGTCTATTTGTATTCAAATCTAATAGTTTGTAAGTAATATAAAATATACTTTATTTTACATTACATGCTGTGTTTAATATTAAAACACCCACCATTTTTAACACCTACAAGTAACACCAAAATGTGTAGTAAATTACACCAAATTGAGCATTTTCTACTCTTGAATGGAGTTCTTTTAACAATATTGCGTGTTGCTTTTACCCCTAAGAGTGTATTATATTTGATGATTTTTACACTGTTACGAGTTTTTTGTACGAATAGTACGTGTAGATTTTTAACCAATTAAAAAGGGTAAAATTTACCAAATTGTATGTGGTTAGATATACCATTTCTAGTGTGGACCTATATAGACCACTTTTGGTGTTGTTTTTTACCAGAAATTTTTTCTGTGTAGGGTTTTAATATATGGCAAATCCTGTTTCTTACCTTGTTCTTGAGCAGAGATACCATTACCAGTTTGATATAAATACCTATATGTTCCATCACCATTATTGACGTTTTCAGACTTTACAATAGGTATTTGGGGTCCAGAAGAATAAGATCCCCCTGAAGAACCATGGTTATAATTATTGTAATTGTTAACTGGTGGAGCAAATCCAGAGTTAAATTCTCCTCTACCTCCATTATTTGGAGGAAGATATTGGCTGTTCAAAAGGCCGCAAGACGCGAATCCAAAAAGGCACAAAGAAAAAATAATCTAAAATAAATAAACACTTACTTTTTTGTGGCTTTAATACTAAATAAGTGTTGATAAAATAATATATTCACTATTTCTTACTTTTCACATTGTTAGACTTACTTGTTTCATTGTTATATGTTACAATTAATATGCTATTAAAAGTAAACTGATTCCTAAAAAAGTCGACCAATTCTTTTATACCATCAAAAATATAATTACTCCCACTAAATTTCAGGCCTCTTCTATTACGGTGACTAAAGAATTTTTTATTGAACAATCAGATCAAATCGCAAGGCCAATTTAATATTGCATTAAGATGATTTTTGGGTGGGTAATTAAATTCATAGTTTATGATTTTTTTAAAACTAAGCGTACAATTTTATGGCAAAAAATTATTTTTTGCATCTAGACTTGGTACAATTAATTAATTGGTACTTTCTCATAGTTTTACTAAATAAACATTTAATTGGGTAAACCAAAGTTGTGTAGGTATCTTTAACGGTTCACTGCGGAAGATTATCTGCGCCATAAATTTGTTTATTGCTTTTCTTTTATTTCAATATATTTCAAGCTATCACGATCACTTTAATTTGGTATATGTCTAACAAATCATACCTTAATTTTAACAGATTTGTTTTATAATACCTTTTAAGAGTAAATTCCACAAAGTTCTAAGTAAGTTATTTTATAAACATTATTCAGGTCGTGAAATTATTACTTTTCTACCCTAGGTTAAAAAAGGGTGGACTTCTTGACAGAATCATTAAATACTATAACATGTAACTTTTTTTATTTAAGTATACCGCAAACAAGCTCGAGCTGGAAACCGTGCATTTATTTAATTTATACGATTTTCTATGGCCATGACAATGACTATGACTATGACTGGACTCTCCTTCAAGGCCGATTTAATTAACCCCAAAACCATATTAATGACAATGTTATTGTTATTTTAAAGATATTTTAAAACAAGTGTCAATAACAAACTATAAAATTTGATTCTTGATATGTGGTGGAATTTACTTCAAAGAATAGCTTATTGTGTTTTTAATGTTTAATATTTCCTAATCAACTATTCTTTACTTTTTATTTAGCTAAGAGCATTTTCTGTTCATAACATTTGATCTAATTTAGCTAATTCAACCGACATTAATTTTTTCTTACAAACACAAAAAAATTATTACAATCCAATTATTTGTTATATAAGATAAATACCAATTTCTATGATTAATTTATAGGTAGGTAGTTATCGTGTAGTTACATCTTCACAAACAATGTGTTCATTGATACACAAAATCGATTTGTTTAAAGCATTTAAGCGCTTAATGTCAATCAATTGGAATATATTTACATAAACAACCTTAACATTTAATGTAGAACAAAGTATATTATGAAGAAAAAAATTGTTAAAAACAATTTGGAGGCGAATTACGCTGAAAAGAAAGGTTTTTAAATGTCAAAAAGTAGATTGGCAAAACAATTCTTTTAGGAACATGGAATATATGGTACTAGCTACTAATACTCTTACTATTACTGGTACACATAATACACTATTTTAATTAGGAATTACTATTAGTGGTACACATAATACACCATTTTAATTAACAATTAAAAACAATGTAATTATTTTAATACTTATTTACGCCCCTGACAGATCGTTTAAAATCACAATTAACAATTAAAGAGGGAAGAAGATGAAGGGGTTAAGTAACATTTTTTAATAATAAAGGACAAAAATATTGTAATTGCAATACCAAGTTTATTTTTATTTACAATAATATCGTTTCTCATATACAGGGTGAGTCATTTAACTTGAAACTTTGAAATATATCAGTTAGTAATACTAACTTAGTATGCATTTTACGAAAAAATCTTTAAAATAAAAATTAAATGATTCGGAGGGGGAAATCAATCAGTACTAAAATTGGTCCTCATACTCTCCTCCTTATAGGGGGAACAGGGGGTAAATTTCCAATGGCACACCCTATTTTTTATTGCAGATTCAGATCATTCGACTAAATTTAGGTAGATTTTGTCTAAAACGTTTTTTCATATTTGTAATAGATGGAGCTGTAATGAATAAAAATCAATTTTGTTCGATTTTTCTTCTGTATACGATTCTCCAATAATTTTGGAATAAAATACTTGGTTTTATTTTTTAAATTTATTTATTTATTTTTTTAATTTTAATTAAAGTAGGTGCTCAAAATAACAATATTGCTCGACGAACTCTTTTTTTCGGTTGAACACTCCAGTTTGTAGTAAACTGCTTGACTATACGGTGAAATGAAGTACGTGATCAAATTTTTTCCAGAAAACGCTGAGCGTAGATATTAACAGCATCATCAAGATTCCTGCCTGCTTCTCCATAAATCAAAATCATTTCTATTTTTTCTTCCACTGTTAAAAAATCCATTATTAATAACTGCTTAACGAAAGGAGGTATTTTTGTTTGCAAATTAATCTTCGAACTAAATTGATTAAATAAAGCTAAACTATGTAAACAGTTTCTTTGTACCTCAATAATAATTATTATTTATAACTAAATACCATTTTTTTATACCTCAATTAGGATTAAATTAATTAATTCACAAAATACCGTGACTTCGGACGATTTTTAAGGTTTTTTCAAATTTTGAATGGGTAATGTTTGTTATTTTGAACTAATTTTTTTACAGGGGATTTTGGAATCCTTCCGGTATAAGTTTAAAGCATAAAATTTGGAAAAAAAGCATGAAATTAGGTAAAAACTCATTCAAATGGAAAAGGGCATTTTATTTATCAAAATATAAAATAAAATTGAATTCTGAGGATCAAAACAATAAAACAAATATATTTATTCTTATACCTAATACTAGTATATTAAAAAATATTGTCCTTTGTATAGTTTCTGTAAAAATTGCTCTCCAACATTTTTTTATAGACCCTAACCATGTCCGAAGTCGCCCCGTTTTACGGTAATGTTTTTTTAACCTTAAATGAGGTATTTTTTATTAAAAATAGTACAATAATCCTTAAAGGATTTAATGCTGGCAGGTAAAAAGTGACCATGGTGCGCAATTGATAATTAATGAAATAATGTATAAAACTTAAACCAAAGGAAACTGAAATATTAGTTAAAAAATCGTGGGTAAAATCAGATTTAATTACTTAAGATAATTATTACCAAAAAAGTGATATTTTTATAGAAAAATTATTGCAGAATCGTATAAGAAGAAAAATCGAACAAAGTTGACAATTTTGTATAAAATAAACAAAATGTTGTTTTTAAGAAAGTTCGCCCCCTCCGCCCTTAGACCCACGGCACGCTACTGTACGAAGTCAGACATGACAGCCACGTGACTTAATTTTTGAATCTGTCGTGCTTTAAAAGTGTTTTTAACTTTTATCATGGATTGTGAACCAGTACTGTGCATTTTGAATGGTTTTACCGAGGGGTGAACCACCCAAAGGGAAAACGTCCAGGGATTCTCATGTATTCCCATTATATTTTGTTGTATTCCTATGTATTTCCATTGTATTCCTATGGTATTCCTCCTCTAAAATGTCCAGGGATTCCCAGGTGTGGGTGACCCCTCGGGTTTTACTTTTTTTAAATTTAAGTACAAAAATCAGAATAAAACTAATGTATAAGTTAACATTTTAATTATAATTTATCTAATTATGTTACAAATTCATTAGAATCAGAGTAAGTTTAAAATAAAGTGATATATCTGAGACTATTTTTTTTTAAATATTAGTTGCTAATATGTGCAACCTCCTACACTCAGAGAAATATCATGTCATGAAAAGCATATGAAATGATATTAATTTAAATAATCGGGTAAATTTGATTCAAATAGAAAAAAATGTAGTTTTATATTCATTTACCAACAGTTTTACAATGTTTTTAAACACTTTTAAAGTGTACTCTCTTTAAAATATATATACAAAAAGAAATCTATTTATTTCATTGCCTTTCTCAACGGTATTTTAAAAATATATGTATTATACAATTGTTATACACCTTTTAATTTAATGAGAAACACCAATGACGCCAAAACATATTTAAATCCCTTTGAATTATTATCGTTTTGAATGATTCTACAACATTTTTTCTCTCAGTGTACTAATTCAACACAGCCACACAAGAAAAAATAGAAAATAAAATAATTTAGGCAGCCGAAATCAAAAATAACTTTTACAAATGGTTTCCGATATAACCTAAAAAAAACGCATTTTACATACCTACGAATTTAAAAAAGGCACTTTTATCAAAATCCTTGCCACTTGAAAAATATTTGTGCGCCATTTGGAATTTTTAAAATCGAATATAAAAATCGTTTTTAGCGACACCTAAAACCCCTTTATCTTTTGATTCATGAAAATTCACAAAATCACCAATTTGTATCCGCCATTTTGAGTTTTTAAAATCTGATATAAAATCGTAATCAGCGCCCCCAAAAACCTATATGTACAATTTTGCAGGTAAATGCAAACCTTTTTCGACTTTCGTAAAAATTCGCCTGTGCAGTTTTGATAACAACAACAAGAATCAAAACGCTTCAATGACCTTAAAAATATATCGTGACCTGACTATAATTGATAATTATAACGGATTTTTTATTTTTGTAAATCCTTAATTCGTAAATCTTGACACGCCTATTATACCTACCAATGTACTATTTATATTATATCATTGTAACGCTACCAATACAATTTATTGATTTTTAGGTTATTTTTAGAAAAAATCGTTTTTTAACGGTATGGTTGTTTTTTTGATTCTATAATAAAAAATAGTTTCGGCCTGGCAGAGAATCTTCAACTAAAATTTAATATAGGTTTTAATATACCTAACCTATAATATAACAGTTTAAGAAATAATTGCCATCCTGCACAATAAAAACTATTCCTAATATTTAATAAAACCGCAATGTACATTTCACGCCAAATGGACCACTTTTGAACCTTTTACTGAAATTTACTACCCAGTGAATTAACGTTTAAATGGATTTAAAAAAAATGGTACCCATTCCAAATTTTAAGCTCTTTTTAAACGCTGATAACTTTTTCAAAAACTTACTAAAAAGACGTTTTTTTTTTAAATTATTCGTAAAAATTTTTTTTACAAATAAAAAATTATTTTTTTCCTGGATAAACTTTAATTTATTTTGCGTTAATTTCTCAAATCTCATGGTGGGCCAATTTTTTATAATGTTATTAAAATAGTAAGATTTCAAACAAATTTAAAAAAATTTCTAATTTAAAAAAAAAACCAAAAATAAAGCAAAATAAATAAAAGTTAAAAAGTAAGTAAATAAAAAATATTTTTTTCCGAAGAACTAAAACATTTTATATTTTTATATCAACCCTCTTAGTAAATGATAAATTATGGGAACAGACCTGTATTTTTTAACGGGCTTGTATAAAACACCTGTTAAATTTAACAGGCTTGTTGAAAAACAAATTACAGATCTGTTCCAATATATGTATAACATGAAATTTCATTTAGTAAGGTGGAAAATGAAATTTTATTGACAAGTTGTGGCTTTACGGCGTTTTAGTCACGGGATGAAGTTAGCAACAGGTTTTTAGTCACGGGCTGAAGTTAGTTTTAAGATAGTTGACAGTTATCAAATGTCATACAATCGTTAAAATAAAGTGCCTTTCTTGTAAAATAATACTAAATGTGAAAATTATTTTATTATCTTAATACAAAAATAAAAAAGTATTAAATAGTTTCTCAATGCCAATATTTGAAAAGTTTATATGAACATTGTACTGATCTTTTAATTTCGCCGGCAGTAAACTATAACTTAAATTCGGGCACAGACTCCACTGTAAAGTGCTCATAAAACATTTTCTTTACTTTCACTGGAAAAAACTGTCCATTTTCAAGAAATACATTTCGATTTATAACCTTTATAATGTTTATAAAATATAAAAATTTGACAGTTGACGGTGACACACAGATTGCCCTATTGTTTCATAGATGGCGCTCCATAAAAATATTTTATTTAAATCATTTTAATTTTAATAATAAGTATTTGTCGTAGAAAAAGTATAGTATGCACCTCGTTTATAAACTTTTCTATACACTCATTAATTTAAGAACTCGCTCGCAAGCTCTCTCGTGCCTAAATTAAATTCGTGTATAAAATGGCGTTTATCAAACTTGGTACATAATATACTATTATTTTCCCAATTTGATAAACAGTATTTGTAAAGGAATGTTCGGTAAATATCACAATAAATATGTTATGAAATTATTTTCACAACTATAATTTGAATAAATTTTATCTACTATGGTAGGTAAAGGTTTGGATTTTATAATTAATTGATTTAGTGTCTTTAAAGAATAATGTGAACATCTATTTTTTGTAATTATCATTATTCATTTTACATTTAAAGTTGCTTTTAAACACTTAAATGCGTTACTTGAAGAATGTGTTGCAAAGAAGTCGTTAGTAATATTTCTAATGTGATTGGCACCAATTTCGTTTAGAACCATTTTTGGGCGAACCAATGGAAGAAAGATTCACTGTTTCGTGCACTCTCTGTCAAAACAGTTTGCAAGTATAAAAGTTGGGAAATAGAACTAACAGCAGTTTCGTAACTTTAAACGTGGTTAATTTATTAATGGTATTTTCGCTAAATCTCATCAAAATTGAAATCTTATTGGTTGTAAATTATAAGATGTTTATTTGATTTGATTGGTTTATACCTACCTACCTAATTAATAGTATATAAATATTGTAATTAAATATTATTTATGGAAATGCAAAGATTATATAAAATATATGAATGCATTAAAATTTAATAAAGAAACGTATAATAAATGGATTTAATCCCGACGCATTCGCCATTTTTGCGACTTTTTTTAACTTCTTATACCTAGTTTATAAGTTTGTCTATAATTTGTTAAAATACAGTACATGAATGGAGAATAGTAAAAACGTGAAAAATCAATCTTGGAAGTGTTGGCCATTTGCTGCTTCTTAAAGAAAAGCGTCGTTAGTAATGCTTTCGCCGTAACAGTATGGACTGTGGATACATCTTGTAAAAACCACACTTGTGGATTGTTTACCAGAACTAAAAAACATTATTTAAATCGGTGCAATAACACGGCCAAAAGTCATGCAACCAGTGTTAAAAAAATACGTAACTTTGCGAAGTAGCATGTTATGTAAAGATTTTAATATTTCACTCTTAACTAAGGTCTGCATAAATAAGACAAAATCTTAATACAAATAGATAAATTTATTTACAGTAAAAATATATACACTCTAAAACATAATTTAAAAGATGGCGTCTCCAGTCAATTTAGTACCTATACCCGCCACCTCCTCCAGAGGTTCCGGATCCTGAAGGTCCACCAGGGCCTCTGAAGCCTTGTTGCTGACCTCTGTACCCTCCTCCAGCAGCTGGAGCACCGTATTGGTTCGAAACACCGCCTCCTGAAGCACCTCCGCCACCTGGCGCATTGTAGCCTCCTGATGGAGCTCCACCTCCTGCACCTCCAGCATTATAACCTCCACCTCCCGAAGGTCCTGAGCCGTAGCCTCCTGAGCCTCCACCAGCTCCTTCACCTCTGTATTGGCCGTCGTCGGAGATACCTCTAGCCTCGTCAGCAGCGTTTTGCTCCAAAGCCTTCAGAATCTCCGGTGGGATTGGTGGCGGGGTTGGTAAATGAGCACCCTGGGGTTGGAAACCGTTCTCGTCGGCGGTGTAGCTGATTTGGATTTGTTGTCCGTCGGGGGAGGTGTAAGAGAACGAGCCCTGGGCGGCTGTGCCGTCCTTTTGGTAGCCTTCTTCCTGGGCGTTGATTCCGTTTCCGGTCTCGTAGAGGTAGTTGTAGCTTCCGTCTCCTTGGTTGGGGTTGTTTTCGAAACGGATTATGGGGATTTGAGGGCCACCTCCACCTCCACCGCCGCCGCCGCCTCCTTGGTACTGACCTCCTGCACCACCTGTTTAAAAAAAGCATATTAAAGAACAAATGAGGCCTGTCAGCAAAACCGACAATCTCCACTTTTGGTCAAAAATTAGATTTTTGGCGGAGACTGTACTTTAACTAATTATCTATAAGATGATAAAGTTTATCTGCTGCCTAAAATCCTATTTTAAAAATGACATTTATTGCAAAGTCGACAATCTCCAGTGATAGATTTGCAGCAAAGTATACAATCTCCAATTCCACCATTAGAAATTAGTAATTTGCGTCACCTGATATCCTAACATTTGATGTTATAATGTATTTTAGAGATTTAATTTTGTGTTTTTTTACTGGTACACACTGTTAAGTTCTATTGCAGTAAATTGCACTTAAAAAATATATTTAAAATAGGTAAATCTATGTTTTATTGTTTTAAGAATTATAAACAAAGTTATCTTGTTTATTTTGTGCTATTATACCATCATAAGACGTAAAGGTAAAGCAAGAAAAGGCCGATAATGTCAAAACATTGCAAGTAAAACATTACGGGGCAAAGTGGAAAGGAGATGATGAGTTGTTGTACTATAAAAACTTTTTTGCATGAGGCAACCTGGTCCCAAATTTACAAGAAACTCCAGATTTATGTGGTCCAGTTCAGAATTTTCCCACATTGATTGTATAGTTAAATTTTGTAACCATTAAAGGGAGAAAAATACAATTATTTTTTTGTTTATTTTTCCAAATCTCCTTAAACGTTTACAACAAAATGAGCAATCTCCCGGAATTCATATCAAAGTCAGCAATCTCCAATTTATAATTATAGATTTCACCTATACTATGCATCCTGGAGACCTTGTAGTTGGCTACTAGACTAACAACAACAATATTTCAATATAATATATAAAAAAAATTACAAATCTAGAATTTAACATACCTACCAAAATAAATTATCTCAATTTACTCAGTTTTAGTCTGACGGGAGATTGTTGACTTTGCTCTGACAGGCCTCAAATGTCGTAAGTTATTTTCTCGCGCAAGGACAAGTTTATGGAGTTCTTCACAATGTTTTTTCCATTTGGTGAAATTCGCTTAAATAATATGTTTAAAGTTCCAATAATAATGACATACGGTGTTGCAAAATTTGTAAAAAAAAATCCACACGACAACTGTACGAGGAAGTGACACATTGTCGCAAGCAAATTCGTTTTATAATGTGATCATTGTAAAAAAATACAATACAATACCTTGGTATCCTCCAGCTCCTCCTCCTCCTTGGGCACCACCACCTCCAGAATATCCTCCTCCTCCACTACCACCTTAAAAAAAACTCAAAATACAAAAAATTAATTAAAAATCGTTTTACCTTGGTATCCTCCAGCTCCTCCGCTTTGAACACCCCCACCCCCGGAGTAACCTCCTCCACCCCCTCTACCGCCGCCGCCTCCGGAATATCCACCGCTAGCCCCACCGCCAGAGAAACCGCTGCCTCCACCGCCCCCAGAGTATCCACCGGCACCACCAGCTCCCTGGAAAGTACCCCCCTGGTTTGGAGGCAGATATTTGGCCCCGTCAAGCCTGGCACTGTAGCCAAGCCCAAAGATGGCTAAAGCCACCAAAATCTAAAAGAGAAATAAAAAATAGTTATTTATGTCATTAGGGTAAGAAGTAACCCAGACAGCAATATGACGTCATAATTAAGTCTGCATAAGCTCTACTTTATGATTTGGACGTCAAATACAACATCAGAAAGAAGTTTTTAAGAAGTTCTTAAGACTTCGAATGCGCCACCTAATGACTTAATCAAGACTTCTCAAAAAAGAACTCTTGAGGAACCCTTTTCTTTGACTTTGCAATTAATTATTTTAAGGAGTCCTACTGTATAAACTTATAAAAAGACCGTTTTGGATATAGAAGTACTACTAGGGTACTGATGAAAAAATTACATACGGGATCGTTGCTTATTTTGACATGTCAAGTTTATTTTATTAATTTGATAAATTGATTTTATTAAAATCATTTTAATAATTTGCTCGTATTCGCTTATTTTAGGAATTGCGATTACTTCGTCTCACTTCACCGGCACCGATAGATGGCCTGTTTCGCTCTTTTGGAGCTCGTCAGTATCGGGTAGCCGTTTACCTAGGTCTAAGACCGTTTGGTATGAAGCACGCTCTAAATTCTACTTCGCCGCTTCTTATATCAAACACAAGCAGTTACAGCGGTGAGAAGAAAGTAATCGCATTAAAATGTCATAAAAGAGATGTCTCCATGTTGACGTCTTAAAGAGTTAATAATATGATTTCAGTAAGAAGTAAGAAAAGAGAATACTGTTAGATATCATATAACTGAAGTCTTATTTATGATACCCTTAGTAGCTTCTAATTTTGATTCGAATAAGAGGTCAGAAAAAAAGATACTTTAAGATGTTAAAAAAATGACTTCTCATTTATGATTTCATCAAGAACTCTTAATCTTGAGCTCCTAAAAATGATTTCTCCAAGATGTCATATTGTGACCTCAGTAAGATGTTTTTGAACAGACTTCGTACAGAAATCTTTCTGAATTGGATGCTGTCTGGGAAGGCTTTTTGTGCTAAGCTCAAGGTTTGAGCGAAGCACAAAAAGGCACTTCTTGGCAGAATGGCATACAACATTTTATCTTCAAAGCACTTTATATAGGTCAATTTAATTCAACATCAAAGCGGCCTAACCTCACTTTTTTAGAATCTCATTTATTTATTAGCTAAAGATTACATTAAATGTACAATAATTATTATTACTTTTAGAAGCAGTAATAGTTTCACAATACCTAGCTACATGATTTAAGTAGAAATGGATTTTTGCTATTACATTGAATTCAATTAATTGTTTAAGAAATAGGTAGGTATCTAATTTCAATTTGTTTGGATTTTTATTTAAAAAAATAGTTTAACATTTAATTTCACTGAAAACTTAAAGCAAATTAAAAGTTAAAGATAATTTAAATTGTAGAAAAAGAATCGTGCATTTTCTTGGTTGCCTAACCTCACTTTTTGTTTTATTATTCATATTTAATTTTACAATAATTTAATGAAAAATATTAAACATTAACAGTAAAACAAACAAATTACTGCTTATTATAAATAAATTAAACCAGTTTAGTACGTTAATTTCTTATAAAAGGATTAATTTGTCAAAACAATACCCCTAGCGAGAAAAAATCGAACTAATTACTTGCCTCATAAAATTTTTTATCGGCCTAGGCCATAACAAGGTATTTCTTTATCGAATGTTGACAACAATAAAGTTTAAATTATAGACCGCGTGGAGATAAAGAATATTATTTAAATAAAAATTCCAATAGTGGATAGGGTAGCCTTTATAAATGGTCTAAAATAATTCTACCAATTGGTAATAATTTAAGAAATCGATTGATTGCTCCAGGGTCAAAAACAACAACAAAATTATTACAATAATTAACACCATAACTACATAACGAACGTATTTCTTTTTATTGTCTTAATATTTTTACATAATTTCATGAGAGATATATCATAAAATACAATAATAAATTCATAACGTTGCAAGACTGCAACCTAATAGATTATAATTATATTTACCCACCTATAAAAAACAATAGTGCATAGTGCAAACCTAATTTGTAACCATGTTATGTAAAATATTAAAAAAAAACAATAGCTTATTCATTACACTGTGCAACACCAAAAATCAAACCGCACCGGACTATTTTTTTCTGAAAATATACCTATCCAATAGCAAAACCCTCGCTGGGTTTTTAAAAGTTAGCTCGATTTTTTTTTTTATGGCCGTTTATATTTTCGAGCTTCATATACCCCAATTTAGACTTATAAATCGATTTTTTCGGAAATATTCTATTTATATCATCCAGATTTTTTATAGATAAGTAGTTACTGACAAATAAACCCATTTTGTGAACAACCTATATTACAAAACTCAATTTTTTTAACCAAATATTCTAAAAATTACATTTTCTTTTTAAATTTTTCGATAATATTTAAAATTTCTTGCTACTTCTTCGGGCAAAAATGTTGTAAAATGTACTAGAGAAGTAATTTATAAAGTACTCACACTAAACTGAACTTAAGTTTGCTTATTTGATGGAAAACAATGTTTGAACAAGATTTTACAAAATATTTATATATTATATTTTTTTATTCTGTATTAATTTTAATATTAAAAACTTTTTCATATCAAAACATTCAGTAATCTGATTCATTGCTAGAGAATTCCATCCCTTCCAGTTCTTCTCCTTTATTTTCTTGTTCTTCATCACTGGAGAATTCCATCCCTTCCAGTTCTTCTCCTTTATTTTCTTGTTCTTCATCACTGGAGAATTCCATCCCTTCCAGTTCTTCTCCTTTATTTTCTTGTTCTTCATCACTGGAGAATTCCATCCCTTCCACTTCTTCTCCTTTATTTTTTTGTTCTTTATTTTCATTTTCTTCCTGATCGTACTCAAAAATATGTTTACTCCACCAACATATTTCGGCTAGTATGGCATCTGGAGCTCGTTTTCCTCTGTATCTGTACTCAAATGGCATCGCAGTTTGATGATAACGCTCTCCCTGCTCATCTGATTCTGTCGATAACTGTTGACTGAAGTAGTCCAAATGGCGATGAAGGAAATGAATTTTTAGAGACATATTGACTCCAATTTTGGAAAAAGCATCCAACATTCGTCGCACAGATCCTTCATAATTGGGAGAACGATGTTTGCCTAAGAGTCCAACAATGATTTCTTTTATCGACGACCACGCAACTATTTCATTGTCAACCAAGACCCTGTCAAAGTCTTCAGACTTTACCAATTTCCGAATATCAGGACCATTTAAAACGCCTGAAATGAAATAAATATGAACATTTTATGAAATATTTATTAAAAATATATGAAATCGTTGCAATTTATTTTATTATGGGTTTTGACAATGTTGATTTTGACGAAAAGAAAAGTTATAGGCCAAGACAAAGCCGAGCATCGTTTTGTGGAAATCGGCCTTGTAAAAATGTGTTATATTATATTTTATTTCAAATTTATTTAAAAGTTTACGTCAAAAGTATAGATTTTTAGTAAATTTAAAATAAGAATATTTATATGTGTAGAAATATATGCGTCTTACCGTTTTTTAATTTGACATCACTGATTCTCGGAAAAATGTCACGTAAACAGCGAAATACCTCATCTCTTTTAGCAACTACCTTTAAGAAATTTTTTACAATGCCTAGTTTGATGTGAAGTGGAGGCAAAATAATTTTTTCGGGTGGTACAAGTTCCTTGTGAATTCTATTGGCGTCTCTTTTCTCACTCTCAACTCTCATTTTCCAGTCGTGTTTTGCATACTGATCTCCCTTATAACGACTGTCCCAATCGCATAAAAAACACATGTGCTTAATGTAGCCGCCTTGAAGACCGGTAAGCATGGCAACGATCTTTAAGTCACAACATACACGCCAATTGTGTTTTTTATAATCGACCAATTGTAAAATGTGATCCATTTTTTCAAACGTCTCTTTGGTATCAGTTCCGTATGCAATTGGTATCGATGGTTTTAAGTTTGTTTTGTCAAGCAAAACTGCTTTTAAACTGAATTTCGAACTGTCAATGAATAACCTCCAGTCGCCTGGCCTGTATCGTATATCCATTTTATTCATCAAACTTAAAATGTCGTGACAATGAGCAAAAGTCTTTTCCACATTAACAGTGAAAAAATTATTAAATTGTTCTTTGCGATTACGATATGCCGTAACTTTTGTACCTGTTGCTAACAAGTTATTTGATTTAAAAAAAGATGCTAACATTTCTGACTTTCGCTGTGTTAGCTCCAATTTAGCAACAATTTCATCCAACTTACTTTGCGTTATTAGAATCGGCTGATTTGACGCTGATGGTTCGGGAACATACTCGGAATATGCATCATTTGCATTTGATATATCAGTAAAAGCAGTCAAAACATCTGGGCTTGGACATTTTGGCACCGGAATATTTTCACCATGATCCAGTGGTAATTGTACAGACGGAACGGAAACATACATTTTGTTTTTTGCTTTCTTTTTGTTCAGCCCGACCACATTATTTTTACAAGCAAAACAATTTTCTGGATTATGTTCTCCTGGATTGTGCCATAGCATTGGTACTCCAAAAGGCATTTTATTTTGTTTTTTATTCATCCAATTAATTAAACCGACGTAACAAGCTCTGCATACTATGTTCGGCGCCCACGGTTTATTCACAGTAACTTCACGATCAAAATAATGTTTGTATGCCAAAATAAAATTATCACTAAATGATCCATGCTTTTCACTCGATGGTGTAAAACGTCCACAACAATAGCAGAAAACGTTAATATTTTGAGTACAGTTATACATTTTTAATCAATTTATAAAATTCGCGCAAACAAGAACAATAACTTTTAATTTGTTAGCAAAAACTATTTGTTTAAAAAACGTTCACGGTACCAATATAAAGAAAATATGTACAGGGTGTACCAAACTTGACGCGCCAATATTATTGTGGGAAAATAATACTACGAAATAATAATATTTCATACTCTTAAAGAAGCGTTTTTAAGAGTAAACATAGCAACAAAAAATCAAAAATGATAACGATGTTAGTATTTTTTCCACGAACAGACCATTTTTTTACTACGGTTGGAAAGACAGTTGAATTCTAAGTTTTTTATTCAAATTGTTTTTTCTATCATAATAGTTTATTATTAGGTACAGCTTTATTGGGCAAATACTGCATTTAAAATACTTAGTAAGTATTGCTTATTTAAATTGTTTTTTCTATCTATAATAGTTTATTACAGCTTCATTAGGCAAACACTGCATTTAAAATACTTATAAAGTATTACTTACCAATATTACCATAATACCCACGGAAATCTAAAATAATGTTGATTTTAATAAATTATTTAGATTGCCAGGGATTTTTGGCGGCGCCAAGGGTGTAAAGACTCCAATATATTTAATTTTGTGCCTTTATTTTCTAAATTTAATGGTTTATTTACATAATAATAATAATAGTAAACATGTCTACAAAGAATCATGATGATATAAATTTAATATATGTGAAAAAATTTGATTTATTGGGTTATATGAAGCTCGAAAATACAAACGGCCATAAAAAAAAAATTCGAGCTAACTTTTACAAACCCAGCGAGGGTTTTGCTATTGGATAGGCATATTTTCAGAAAAAAATAGTCCGGTGCGGTTTGATTTCGATGACCCGAAAATTGTCGCACAGTGTTATCTTTCACAGAAACGAACCACCTTAATAATAATTATATTGTTAAAATAATAAAGATATATTAGTTTTTTAAGTAGGTTAGTTTTTGACTGATTATTGCAAAACATTATAATACCAGGTGTCTTAAAATTGGCGCAGTTCTTCAATATTAACTTTGTTATTTGTTCTTTTATTTTATAGATTAAAAATAATATCATCAAATATTGTTTATCAAGTGTTATGTTTCCATTTATAAGACACTCTGTATATTCACCTTTCATTAAATTTACCCAATGATTATTTCCCTCATTATAATATGAATCAATCAAAAGCCTTGAATTTTCTAATAAATTTCGTTTAAATCACTAGAACTATTTAACAGCGATTAAATTTTAGCCTCCATATTGGATTTTTGTTTACGATTTTATCTTTTATATGTTATTTACAAGTTTTAACAAACATTTTTTAAAAAACAATAAAAAATAAGTTATCTAGTTTACGAAATATCAATTATTACTTATTACATACCTTAAATTAATGGAATTTTCTTTAAAAAAATATTTATAAATTTTGACACATACGTCAGATTTTATGAATTGTCAAATAGTTTCCTTTAATTAGAGAAATAATCTACACGTATTTCACTCAACCTATAGATTTAATCTGTCAAACTATGCTCAGTAAGTTTTTTATTTGATTTTTCTTTTTGGAAAATAGTTTCATGCAAAATAATTAAAAATAAAACCCCTCGACCGCTACGCAATCTCGTGATTTTATTAAATTATTTTGCATTCAACATTTTCCAACAAAAACCAAACAAAAAACTACTGAGCCTAGTTTTACCGATTAAATTCATAGTTCTCGTGATATAATATATGATTAAATTTAATTTATTCAACACCCGCGAGGAATATGTGGCCGAAATAATTAATTCCTTGATTGTTAATTTCTTTACTTTAACCCGTGGGCAAAATAGCATTTCGCCTACGGGCTGAAGGTAGCTTTAATTTGAAATTGAAAAAAGTGAGGTTAGAACTATTTGACAGTTGTCAGATGTCAGATAAAATATAAAATAAAATTGGCTTTAAATTTCTTGCGGTACCTAGTTAAGTAAAATATTTTGTGCGAGAAGATTTTTTTTAATAACTAAGAAAGGGTTTTAAAGATTGTTAATTTGTTAACCTAAAATTAACTTATTATATAAAAATACCACAGAACAAACTATTTTTACCTTAAGCTAAAGGCTGTCGCTACTTAACGCAGTTAACGTAAAATGACAAAATTTTTAGCCATTAACCCTGTATACATACAGGGTACATGTACTGAGCCAATTATTAAAGTATTTACGTAAAATTTTTAATTTTAAAGTATTTTTTGAAAATTATTTAATAAAACACTGTGTACTTACTTGTTTCATTTCCAGGCGTGTGTGTATATATTCCCTGTTGCACTAAGGTAAGATGGGCTTTGGATGCACCATTAGCTGGGCAAGAGACTTTTATATAGTTTGACTCCCACTAAGTGAAGATGATGTGCTTTAGCGTACGAAGAGCGAAGAACGCCTCGGGCAATTTTTAAGACCATCGTCACCCATCGTTACATATGTATGCACCATCGCAATCTTAGATGACTTCTTTTACTCTTGTTGCAAGAGATCTAAGCAAGCGATATTGGTGCCTAGTTTTGCATTTTTGTTTTGTTTGTAGCAAAGATTTATAACAACAAAACACTTTTTTATTTAATACACTGTTATAAAAATCAGATTTGTTTACATGAGTTTGTAGTTTGTTAATTTTATTTTGTAAAATTTTAAGGGTTTGTAATTATTTCAACAGGAAAATATTTTACCGACAATTTTGTAAAGTTAATTTGCAATTTTGTAAATATTTTGTTAATTTCAAAGGTTACAAATTATTTTGTTAATGTTTAACAAATTACTTCGTTGAAAAAGTACATGTGATTTCAGGCAGTCAAACAAAACATTTTCCACTGACAATACGCATCAACAAGTTCAACTGACTTCAGCGTCTGCAACTTATGTTTCTGCTTACTTTATTTTAATTCGTAACGTGTTCGTAAAAACTATCCAGAGTGTTTATAATAAATTACCACACTGAAAAAACAAATCTGTTTTATCAACCAATAAATTTTTTGTTGCAATTGTTCTTGTTGGTCCTAATAAAAAATTTGTTAACCCAAGTAAAGTGTTTAATACATTAGTATTTGCAACAAAAATGAATTTGTTGGAAAGAATTAGTTTACCCTACTGACAATATGCGTCGCCGCTAATAGGTATCCTTAAGTAAACATAACAAATATATTTTTGTTGTCAATTTTCGCCCAAAATATAAAGTTGACCGACTTGGTGTCATGGTTAAAGTTAAGTCTTGGTGTCATAGTGATTGAATAATAAAAAAATAATTTGTCACTGTCAAAAAATTTTTGTGCAAATGCTAGAGGAAGCAGGTTCGCGTTAATTAATTTTTGTGCATTGGGCGTTATGGATGAAGGAGTAAACCAAATATTAACCGAGTTCTTCATTAGAAAATACTTTTAAAGGTAAGGAAATCATACCTTTTTTGTTATATTATTTTTATGAAATATTTTTTATGAAATATACAGGGTGTCCCAAAAGTGAAGGACTAATAGTGCCGTACTAAGCTTGAAGGTCATATCTGCAATATTTTTTGTAGTAAAGGACAGAAGAAAATTTTAATTTAAAAAAACAATAGAAAATGGCTTTTTTGCTTAACTACCAAATATTGCAGACATGACGTTTTGTCTTAGAATGGTAGTAAAGCCATTTTATATTGTTTTTTTAAATTAATTTTTTTTTCTGTGAATTATTTATCTACATTTACAAATGGCCAAATTATCTAGAGTTACGCGGATTTATTATTTAGCCGACTATATATATATATACCGTATGTCCCCAATTCGACTTCATAAGAGGAAAAACTTTTTTATTTTTCATTTTTCGAGATAAATGCATTCTTGATAAAAGTTTTTGCTTGTTCTAAAATGGCTAATTCAGTTTATAATTTTACAAATTTCCCCTCAGTTTCAAAGATGTATTGAAAAATATAAAAATATGTTTAAAATATTTAAGTTTAAAAAATTATAATGCGCTTCTATGGTTACGGTTTTTGATTAGTTGTAATGACGTTAAATATTAAAATATTGTTCAGATCGACTCAGGGATCAATATTTGGTTTAACTAGTTAGGAAATGTTGATGGAGCACATAATTTATTTGGTACAGTGCTATGGAAGAGGAGATAAGAGTTACCGTAGAGTTGTCCAGGAATTCAATGAGAAATATCCAGATATTTACGTATCAACTAACGCTGCTCGAAATTTAGTTAGAAAGTTTTTGAAAACTGGTTCGGTAGTGGATTCAAAACGAAACAAGATCGTTCACGATGAAAATGACGCTGCAACTATTCTTGTTATGGATTCAGTACAAAATAATCCCATACTATCTTTGAGAAGGAGATCACTCCAACTGGGAATCAGCAAATCCCATTTGCAGAGAATTTTAAAAGAAATTAAGTTTCATCCCTACAAGCCGATATTCAACCATGTATTGGAACCTGGAGATTCAGCTAGGCGTTTAGATTTTTGCTTGTGGTTAGGGGCTAATATCATGGATAATCAATACTTCAACCGAAACATTATTTTCTCAGACGAGGCTACATTTTTTACTAACGGCACTGTTTCGTCTCAGCATAATAGGTATTGGAGTGATCACAACCCGAATTTTCGCATTCCCAGTGGTCGAAAATACTTGGCCAAAGCTAATGTGT